TCTCCGACTGAGGCTACGAAAATCAGAATAGACATTAGATATGCCAGTTTTTCTCATGAAATTACTGATTGGCAAGGTTTTTCGTTAGAACGGAAATTTATCCGATATAAGAGAGATAAGCTCTTGTGTTTTCACTGTTGATAATAATGGTGCAAATCACAGTGGCTTATGGGATTTTTCATACTTGAAATAAATTGTGATATGAATTTTTCTCATAAAATTATACTGATTTGCATTTTTTTGCTAGTGAGTGAAGTTCATTTGATGAGAAAAAGCTCTGATCTCGAATGTTGATAAAAATGGATGCCCCTTTTTGTCAAAATGACTCATGCAAGACATCATCAAATGGTGTTTTCTATGGAGGAGTTGATTTGCCATAAGAAATTTAATGAAACACTTCATATTCAGAGTGGCAAAAAATGGAACTTTTTATACATGAATTATATTAAATTGTCATGTAAATTTTTTTCATAAAATTGCAAATTACTGATTGGCATGTTTTTTTAAAGTAATACCTTAATTTTATAAGAAAAAGCTCTGTTCTTAATGTAGGTAGATGAAAATGGATGTCTCATTTTCATCCATGTCAAAATGACTCATGTCATCATCAAATGGTGTTTTTTGTGGAGTAATTGACCATAAAAATCTTCATGAAACACTTGAAATGCCTAATTGTTTTGGCAAAAAATGGTATTTTTCTGTACATGAATTAGATTGTCATGTAATTTTTTCTCATAAAATTACAAATTACTGATTGGCATTTTTTTGCTAGTGAGAGACGTTTATTTGACCAGAAAAAGCTCTGTTCTTTATATTGATAAAATCGGATGCCCCTTATTTTTTATCCTTGTCAAAATGACTCCACATAATTATCATCATTAAATGGTGTTTTTTATGGAGGAGTTGATTATAACCATAGGAACTTTTATGAAACACTAAATGTTTTGGCGAAAATGGGTATTCTACATAAATAGATGTTTCCTATAAAATAACTGATTGGCATTTTTGTTGCTAGTGAGAGACGTTCAGTTGATGAAAAAATAAGCTATAGTCTTAAATGTTGGTAAAAATGGATGTCCCTTTTTGTCAAGATGCCTCAAGTCATCATCAAATGATGTTTTCTATGGAGGAGTTGATTTACCATAAGAAATTTTATAACACTCTAAATTCAGAAATATCTAATTGTGACAAAAAATGGTATTTTTCATACATGAATTAAATCACCATGTAAATTTTTCTCATGAAATCACTGATAAGCATTTTTTCACTCACGTCATATATCATCAAATAGTGTTTTCTATGGAGGGGTTGATTTACCATAAGAAATTTTATGAAACACTTTAAATTCAGAAATACCTAATTATTTTGAGGAAAAATGGGATTTTTCATAGATTAAATTATCATATGTAATACCATATAAGTGATAATATTTTGCCGGAAATATTCGGTGATTGTTACGACACCTTATTGTTGTCTAGTAATTTCGTGAATGACATATTGGATTATTGTCATGAGCGAAATTAGAGCAGCAAGCTGCCCAGATAGCACAAAGACATCTTTAAGACATCCTAAAGACATCGTTTTCAGACGTTCACAACGTCTTTAAGACGTCTATGGACGCCTTAGAGACGTCTGAAAGACGTCCTCTATAGGCCGGATGTTAAAAATCACGACGTCTTTAAGATATCTTTATAATGTCTCTTCTGAGTCTTATAAAGGCATAGAAAAGACATGAGAAAGACCTCATTTCTGAATGGATTTCAGGGTTCCTCTGGGGATTATTTAAAGTGGAATTTGAAGTATTTGGATGTTAAAAGTATTATTCAATAACTGTTTTCATTCCTATGTTTTTCAAGTCAAAGTGCCAGTTATGAAGCAAATATGTAGGTACATACAACACAAAAAAATAGTTGATCTTTGTGACATTTATTTGAAAAGTACAACTACCAAGGACAGGTTTGACATTTCCAGAAAAGAAGTTGCTCGTCCACCCTGTTTGTGATAGGAAAATTGAGAATATTCATTATGTTTCATATAACTGGTCTCTTCATTTTTTTCTTAAAACAGGGCATCTCATCTACAGGAATACTGATTGTATTAGTCCCTCTGTTGATTGCTTTTTGTGTCAACCAAGCATATTCATATCTCTGGAAGATCCCACATTCTTCCTGAAAACAATGATATAGAGTTGAGTTCCAGGAGTTTACCAATATCATTATTAGGGAGAGTTCTTCTTACCTGACACACACAGTGGACTGTAAACATAATAAGGCATAATACTTATTATACTTCAATGTAATCATTTGCATCCATTTGACCAGCCAAAACCAGGTGGCCCGCATTTATGAGTTCAGCTTCATTTTGGAGACACTGAATCACTGGAAAAGTGTAGACAGATTGAAATGCACATGCTAAATGGCCAAATCATAAGAATTCCTGTTCAATAATGATAAAAACTTACAGCTTATCATTATGTTGGTATAGGTTTTAGGTTCAACATTCCAACTAGAGGTAGGTAGGTGTTCTACTGTTAAACATCAGAGATATTATTGTCCTCTATCAAAACACAATGAACCACTGGAAAACACGGATTTAAAAAATACACAAATATCAAAGCTGAGATTGATTGAGAACTCAAAACGAAATTAACATGAACACACCTCTCAATAAACACCATCACCGCAACCAAACAATGTAAAATGTAAACAATCAAATAGTACTGGCATTCGCCGTTCTGGCTCTGGCGCAACGATCTCTCATTCGCTTGACATGGCGGTATTTTCAAATCATCCCACCCGATTTATAAAATAACTTACTCTGAACAATCTATAACCTCTATGTATTACGGTGAAGTTATAAAAATTATGAAATTGAAAATATTCTATTAGCCTGAATCAATATAATCATACCTATATTTTGTATTAAAGGTTCAACGCATATTATGAGAATAGAACCATAACTATATAAGTGTGGAATTCAGGAATTCTGAGAGTGGAGAACGTTCAGATATGACACACTAAAAGTCATTATGATTAATACTTATTATAATATACCAAATATCATTATTGCTCATTTGTATTATTACGATGTCTTTAAGACGTATTCAGGACGTGAGAATCAGATATCTTTAAAACGTCTGAATGATGACATCTTGTAGACGTCTTATTCAGGGAGTAAGACGTACAGACTAAGATAGCATATAATTCAGACATCTTAAAGACGTCTTGTGCTATCTGGGTGGAGTATGTCAATCGACGAATATTTCCAGGAAAAATAGTATCACGAGTTGTATTCGTATGACTATTTCATGATTGAATGAGACAATATATATAAGAAATAGGAAACATAATTTAAGTATATTCCAACTCAAACTGCGAAGAAGGTGGCTGGTGTTGGCCAAGGAATATGAGAGAATATGTGAGGCAGTGTGAGGTGTTCGTCGCAGTGACCTATCTCCTAGGGCTAGGCCCTTTATACAGATAATCTCGCTGGTGGTACCCATAGGGTGGGGGAGCTGCTCGTGCGCGATCAGAGTGGAAAGGGTTTCTTTGATAATGGAGGAAAAATAAAAAGTAGAAACATAAAAAACCTCCTTGTTTATCTCGGGCAGTTGTGCGCATGTGTTTCCACATGAGCACTTCTGCCCGAGTGAGTGTCATTTATTATTGACACTTTGTTATATTATCATGCTTGGGAGATAGTGCGCTGTCTAGAGTCTCCCCGGTGGCTCGGACGTGTCCGAACATCCGGGGAGGATAGATTATCAGGCTCCCTAAAAACATCGGTTGATGCATATATCAGACCGTGTTTTTTATGGATGTTATGGTGTTGTCTGAGTGTTGTTATATTCCGGGTAAGGTCACTTCCAGCGATGTGGTATTTGTAGAATCTATTGGAAATTTTTAAGAGCTACATCATCTGGTAATAATAGTCATAATAACTTGAGTGATTGAAGAAGATTACTTCAAAAAGGAATTTGAATTCTAGTATTGTTGGTTCAGACCGTCAACAAATATGCAAACTTTTTAAATTACATAAACGTCCATCCATTCCAGCCAGGATAAAATTGTCTCGCCTTTCGTACGAACTGTCTCACTAACGTAAATTATAAGTAAATAAAATAAAGTAGGTATAGGTACCTAGGTTATTGTCTCAGATTTGAATCCAAAGCAATCTTGACCAGAAACGATTTCAAAATTTTATCGCTGATAAACGAGGTTTGTTGGTTCGGCTTCTGTATTGGTAGAGCAAGTCCGATAAAATTCAATAAACAAAAAATGGTCGATTCTGATTGGTTCTCGAGATCAAGAGTGGAATAGTCATAAGTAATATCAAAATGTTCTGAATATTCCAGATAATTCTGTCACTTGATTGTTCACAAAATTGTGTTGCCGAGCAACACCACGAATCCGTTAGGACGTGTCGTGTATTGCTGTACGCCAATACAATTAAGTTAACAATGAAAGACATAATTATGAGATGATCTTCAGAACATAGTGGTATTTTGCTAGACGATTTCACGTTCATGAAGCATAAAAAGCACTTTTATAAATCAGTGATTCATTATTCTGACAAGTAGTCATAATTATTTTGTGCCAAACTGATAGACTTTGCTTTGCTATTCATATTCATAGTTACATCGTTGAAAACATCAAAGCTGATAGACCAATTAGAATTGAAAGGCAGCTAAAGTTTTTGTGATAAGCACTCCTTGTATCTGGCTTGTGATGAGTCAGATTATCTGATGAGTGAAATAGTCACGTGAATTTTCCTCATAAAATTACTGAATGGCATTTTTTTTGCTACTTAGGGTCGTTCATTTGACGAGAAAAAGCTCTGTTCTCAATGTTAATAAAAATGGATGCCCCTTTTTTAACAATGTCAAATTGACTCAGAACATCATTATCAAATGGTGTTTTCTATGAATACCTAATTGTTTTGGAAAAAAGTAAGATTGACGAATTTTTGAAGTGTATAGTGTAATGAAATCATGGTGACTAGTCAAAAATCAAACTTATTTAATCCTATTATACATTATAACAATATAAATCACAAGAGTATAAGTAACAGAAGTACAAAAAATATATCTTATAGTACCAAATAAAAAATAAATGAAGCACAGCTTTCATAACATTTGAAATTAATTAAGTAATGGCTCTCAGAATAACAAATCAAAATAAATTGAACTTCTTCTTTTTCTTCTTCTCTAGCGTGGAAAAAGATTCACTCTCATCCACATCCTTATCCATGTCAATTTTAGATTTTGACTTTATCTTGAACTTCTTATCTTTCTTGTGTTTCTTCTTCTCCTTATTGTCTTTATCGATTTCTACCTGGGAATCCTCAGGAACTGTTTTTTCTCCATCTCTATTGGACGTGAAGAGATTAATGTGAATATTGATGCTATCATCCTCTTCTGCCTCTCTAACCCTGTCCATTTCTAAGCACTCCACGATCTCGTTCCTCCTTTCCACAATATCAATCAGTCTGAAAAAAAAAGTTTAGGTTTTCCAGACAGCACAGAATATTCATGATCATAGAATATTCACATTCTGCAATCAATATTCTATGAACATTCTATTTGACATAATCTCAAAATATTCTTTTTGACTATTCTGAGAATGTTATATGAGAATCATATCAAAATATATGATAATTATGTTCCTATTCTTTTATCAATATTTATGATGTTCACCCTGACACAACCTATATTATTCTCTTGCTTAAAATTCATATTTTCGAAAAACACCTTGTAACTCTGGAACGAAGATAGATATCCATATGCAGTTTTCACCATTGAGTTTGTTATGTAAATTGATCAACAGACACCATCATCAGTTTTTTCAATCTAATACGGAAATAGGACTTTCCTTTTAAAAGTGTCCAATTTGGCCCACCTTGTACATTGATTGAATTAGTCTGACACGGTTTCCATGCGCATTTATGATTGTAAATTGCCATACGAATTTGAGAGCAGTACCTTTGAAGGATTTTGAAATATACAATTAGAAGAAATCAGAAAATATCAAGAACTTACAGTTGCAATAAAACGTTCAAATTCGAGACAGATGTATAAAATTGAAATAGAATTAACTTTTCTCTTTGAACTTTTTTGAAATCCGAACAAATAAGCCTATTTTCAGTGCTTAATTTGAAAAAATGTAACTTTTGACATGTAGCGAAAGTAACGTAACTCCGACCAAGTAGGCCATTTTTCATTTTTCTTGAGCAAAACTCAACACCCAAGTCGAATTGCAAAATAAAGTATTATTAAAAGTTCTTCCCATATGATGCCAACTTTATGAATGACACTGAATATTCCACAAATTTATGATATCTGCTGGCCTAAGAGCTCTGGGACACCCGGTATATGGGGAACTAACAGGAGCACGATTATGAAAATTCGTAGGGATAGGGAAGGATGTTCGAGGCACTTAATTTGGGTGAAGGAAACATGGAGAATCCAACAAAGATATTTTCTTTATTGTGAAACTTCGTTTTTCCCCGAAGTTGTTATTTTCAATAGCTTACCCAGTATTCTACATGTTTGAATTCCTCTCATGATTCTTATTCAAATTCATGTATCATACCCTTTACCTAACATTTGAATATTCGAGTTTTTCTAGGAAAAGTGAAAAATTCAGGCTATTGGACACATACCATTTTTATGTAAATTACAATTTTTAGTGATATACAGTAATCCAGTTATTGAATCGTGAATATTGAAGGTTGAACGAATCACTCAACATAATCACAACCAATGAATAATTTACAGGGTGCGCAGAAAAGTGCCTCCAAAGAGTGACTGTGAAACATTGAAAAGTTGAAATTTTTCAAAGAGTGACTGAAACATTGAAAAGTTGAAATTTTTCAAACAGAAACTCCGTTTTTTCTTTCCATAATTCAATTCTATAATAAAAATGAGCCTTAGTTCTAATAATAGCAGTTTTATTTGACTTACCGTTTAATTAATTCTTCCTCTCGTGCCTTGTCAGAATCAGTTTTGTTAGCTTCTGGTTGTAGCATGAGACACCTTATCTGATATTCCACGTCGGCGTGTTCCTCTTCTAATCTTTGTTGCCTTCGACTAGAAATGATCCCAGAAATAAATGGTTGCTCAACTTCAATTGAAATCATTACTTACATGTACATAAGTTCGGTCTGCTTCCTGAATAGTTCATTCTTCTCATTGACCAACTCAAAAAGTTGTAGGATCAGGTCTTCTACATCGATAGGAATATCTGTAATGAGAGTAGATTATCATCATCATTGTCAAGTACATATATACAGTAGTGGGGTATGGATAATCCGAACAGAAAGATGGCAGAACTCCTTCGGTTTACCAGAATTTCCGGATTATAGAATTCTTTTTGAATGATATATGAATAATCCGAACACGCGAATGAACATCTAGACTCCAGCTCCATCTGACGTAAAATTGAAGCCTTCTTCAAGGGTTTAGTGACACGCTATCATTTCAAAGCAAATTTTAATCAAATATGCACATACATACAGCATACAACTCACAAAACAACTTATTATGAAGTTTTTGTTTAATTTCCTAAATCTGTTCAAGTTATCAGTATACTTTTGATTAGATGTAGATCATTTAGTCTTCATTGATGTGTATGTTATAATTTTTTCAGCTTATTTCTCACTAGGAATTATGAAAAATTGTATGATGCTAACACAAAAAATTTGATGAAATGGAGGAACAGATTATTTTGACCTATTTATACCCATGAATTATATTGAAGTTAAAATGGTCTCATCCATTTCTGCTTGTTCTTAGTGTTATAGTATATCCAATATCAATTACAGAATATCCCGCACCATACGGTACCAATAATACAAAATTTCTAGTCAATCAGATAGATTTCAGATTGAAATTTGATGAGGATGTTAAAATTTTGAACCAAAAATTGTCTTGTGGATGTTATGCGGTGAGAGTCACATCAAATAAACTAGGATTTTCTTCGTCTAAGGTTGTTTAGTTGAATCTCATTTGAGGTATGTAATTCCATTTTGGGCGGTGTGTCATAATCATCTCATTAACTCAGTTTTTATATTGCAAAAACGTGCAGTAAAATATATGTGCAAAGCAAAAACTCGTGACACCTGCAGACCCCTTTTCAATAAACACAAAATTCCAACAGTTTATGAGAGAATTTGTCATGGAAACGGCCTGTTTGATGAAAAAACATCTAGGAAAATTTGACACTGCCCCTGCACACCATGCCACCCGACAAGCTGGTAACATCAAGTTACCAATTCCATCATCGGCTCTAGTTAGAGATTCAATAATTTATGTAGGCTGTAAGATGTACAGGGTGTCCCAAATTGCTTGATTTTGGCAGTTTTCCCTATTTCCAGACCAGGTAGAGAAAAACTGACCTAGGGTTCTAGAGCTTGATTTTCGTGAAACGTCGATTGGTGAAAACCGCATTTCGATATCTCAAACCGTTTCCGAGATATAAGCAGAAATTGACATTTGACTGATTTCGAAAAATTGACATAACTTTTTTATTTTTGGATATTTTTCCAAACGGTGAAAACTTTCTATAGACACTTCATGATGTAGAATAAGATGCATATGTCAAAAAAAATATATCGCTTATCAATTGTCTGATATCATAGCCAACTTCGTTATTTCAAATAGAAACCATAGTTGGCTTTGACTTCATGAAATGGAAAAAAAATAAGCTTTCCAAAAATATATATGTTAATTCATTTCTAGTCATCCTTGCTGTTGATATAACGTATTTTTCTTTGAAAATCACAATTTGGTGACATCTCAACTTAGTGAGCCATGGAAAGCAAGAGTTGTTTTGCTTATCTGTCAGTTCGACAATAAATAAAATAACTAAAAGCTGTCACCTGCTTGCAACAAAATGTTTGAAAACTTTGGAAAATGCCAGATGTTTGTTTGCTTTATTGAATCAGGCCGAAATAATGAAGCTGCAAGAAATTTATATTTCGAACAATACCCTGAACGCCAGCAGCCTAGCGCCCAAATATTTGATAGATTGAAAACTAGCCTGATGAATCATGGATCATTCGTCAAGCCCAGACCTTGACAGTATGCCGTTGAATTTTTCGAAATCAGTCAAATGTCAATTTTTGCCTATATCTCGGAAACGGTTTGAGATATCGAAATGCGGTTTTCACCAATCGACGTTTCACGAAAATCAAGCTCTAGAACCCTAGGTCAGTTTTCCTCTACCTGGTCTGGAAATAGGGAAAATTGCCAAAATCAAGCAATTTGGGACACCCTGTACAATCATTTGGATGCAATAAAAAATTCAAACAGATAATAAAAACACTCTTTTCGGATAAACCCTATAATAGTTTACAAGAGTTTTCCAATGATACATTTTAACCATAAAGGAAGGAATATTATATTATGTAGTATGTATAAATAGTGTCTTTTATGAACTAGCTTATAAGAGTGTTTAAATTTGAGATAGATTTTAAAATGTTGTGGTGATTTCCTCTAGTTTTAATTTCAAGTTCTCTTATACCGGGTGGCTACGGAAGTTTTGCCTACGGAATATCTCAGTTATTGTATGAAGTAGGTTTGTAAAATTTGAAGCGTCGATATAATGACATAAGAGCTAGAATTTGAGCATATTGACATGTCGAAGTTAACTTCCGGTCTGACCGGAAGTAACATCAACTTTCTTATTTTAAATGGAAACCCTATTTTTTTTCTTTTCGCTTTATTCAGCATTCAATTCCCTTTCTAATGACATATCACAAGTTGGTGTTGAATAAAACAATACGTTTCTACTCATGTGTTTATTACAACAACAACTAACACGTCTGGTTCGTTCTGTGTCTTCGAAGCGTCTCTCTACTGTATGCCCGACACCAGGCGGAGAATTTTTAAAACGGGTGGGTTGACGTTACGCTAAAGGGTAGACTACATGCTACAATGCTTAAGGGCGAACGACAACAAATAATATTCTGAGTTTATGCATTAACATGCCCCCCGCCTTGGAAGGGTCCCTTTCAACATGAAACAGATATATATAGTGCGATTGAAACAAGTCCATAAATAATGTCAATCTAATAGCAAACTATTGTTCAACACTTTCTGACACTGCGGCGCCTGCCTCTTCTTCTAGGGGTAAAGGACAAAGCTTGGATAATGCCCTTTTTATCACTCCCTTATGTGTTTTGATGGTAGCAACCCTTGCTACACCATCGGGACCGGGATGGAGCTGCTGCACTCGGCCTAATAACCAACGCAGTGGAGGTTGATTGTCTTCCCTGATCAACACCAAGGTATTGAGCTGCAGCGCATCTTTGGTGGTATGCCACTTGACCCGTTGTTGAAGCTCTGCGACGTAGTCTTTTGACCAACGATGCCAAAACGACTGTTGTAGCTGTTGTAGCCGTTGGTATTTAGATAAGCGATTTTCCTTAATATCTCGCATATCTGGATCCGGAAGTGAGATCAAAGACCGCCCAATCAGGAAATGGGCTGGTGTCAAAACTTCCATGTCGGCTGGGTCGGAGGATAGGGGGGTCAAAGGACGGGAATTGAGTACAGATTCTATCTGAGTGACTACAGTTGTTAAGTCTTCATATGTTAGTTTGCTATCTAATAATACACGCTTCATATGGAATTTGGAAGATTTAACCCCTGCCTCCCAAAGTCCCCCAAAGTGAGGTGCATGCGATGGGATAAAGTGCCACGACACATTTTCATTTGAAAACAAACATTTCAAAGCTTCTTCCTGACCTTGCAAAAATTTACCCAATTCTAGCAGTTCATTCTTTGCCCCAACAAAATTTGACCCATTGTCCGAATACACCCTTTGAGGTTTGCCTCGTCTAGCAGTAAACCTGCGAAACGTTGCTATGAATGCTTCCGTAGTTAAATCTGAAACGATTTCTAAATGTATAGCTCGTGTAGAGAAACATACGAATAAACACAAATAACACTTAGTTATTTTACAACCGCGTCCTGAATGATTTTTGATAAAGAATGGTCCTGCGTAATCAACCCCAGTTACAAAAAATGCTGGCTGTGGTGTGACTCGATCTGCAGGTAGAAACCCCATTATTTGCGAACCTTGTCTCGGATTTAGTCTGAAACACCTTATACAACTATGTACTGTTTTTCTAGCCATATTTCTACCCCGCAGCGGCCATACATTCTCTCGAATAGCTGACAGTAACATCTGAGGACCAGCATGACAAAGTCTTTCATGTTCATATCTAAAAATCACTTTCGTTAAATCGTGATCTGAGCTTAATACTACAGGATGTTTCTTTTCATAAGGAAAATTAGACAATTGTAAACGACCGCCAACCCGCAATAATCCATCATCACCTAAAAATGGACTTAACTTTATTAATTTTCCCTTATCATAACTTTATTTTGCTTGAGTACTTTCAACTCATTTGGAAATGATTTTTCTTGAGACCATTTTAACAGAAATTTATATGCTCTACTCAATTCCTCAACAGTAAAAACATGTATTTCCTTTGATTTATTTCCTCTACAACTATTTACAAATCTGATGATATATGCAACAACTCTTTTCATTTTTTGAAGATTCGAAAATTTCTCAAAAGGGAAGAATGAATTGACTTCTGTAATCAATAGAGTTTTCACAGATTTTTTACACTCAGGCAAATCATCTAATACTTGAAATGGTTCTTCAGGCCACATTTCAGGTTTCTGACATAACCAACTTGGTCCTTCAAACCATAGAATGTTCTTTTTCAGGTTTGATGGAAAAATTCCTCTTGAGACTAGATCCGCGGGATTTTCATTAGTCCGAACATAATGCCAATTATCAACTTCTGATAAAGTTTGAATCTGAGCTACTCTATTGCCAACAAAGATTTGAAACTGATAAGGTGGAGATTTTATCCAACTGAGAGCCACAGTTGAATCGGACCACAAAAAAATCTGATCAATATCATCAGTCAAAGATGATTTCACTTTTTGTATTAGCTGAGCCAATAAAAGGGCTGCACAGAGTTCCAATTTTGGAACTGTCAAAGTTTTTATGGGTGCAACTTTACTTTTGGCACACAATAACTTCACCTGAATATTATCATGGTCATCTATACTTCGCAAGTAAACACAACAACCATATGCCCTAGTACTCGCATCTGCGAAGCCGTGAATATCAAACCGTTTCATATTCCCACTAACTACATGTCGTTCAATTTTCAACTCATTTAGTAAAGCAAGCTCCGATCTAAATCTCATCCACTCTCGACATAACTCATCCGGAAGATCATCATCCCATGAGAGTTTCAATATCCATATTTGTTGTAAAATTATTTTTGGAATAATAATACAAGCACTAATCAGACCTAAGGGGTCAAAAATTTGCGAAATCTCTGAGAGAATACTTCTTTTAGTTATTCTCTCCGGAACATACATTTGTTTTACGCTATAACTAAGAACATCCTGGTCCCTACTCCAAAATAAACCTAAAGTTTTAACCTCTGACCTGTCCCCAAAATTCACAATACCAGATTGTTCTTCGCCATGTAGTTGTTCGAAAAGTTCTTTATCATTCGACTGCCACTTTCTGAGTTCAAACCCGCCAGATCTCAGAATAGTTGACACCTCCTTACACAATTCAGATACCTCCTGAGTGGTCCTTCCACCACTAAGCAAATCATCCACGTAGAAGTCATTAGATATAACTCGAGCAGCCTTTGGATATTTATCTAAGTTCTCTAAAGCCAACTGTTTGAGGCACCTGATTGCCAAAAATGGACTAGACGCAAGTCCGAATGTTACAGTGTTCAAATCATACATACCAATCTCGCTTTCTGGATCTTTTCTCCAAACAATACGTTGGAGAGGACGATCCTCCTGTTCTACCCACACCTGCCGATACATTTTGGCAATATCTGCACATACTACAAAATTATGCATTCTGAAACGTAATAGAATGGTAACGAGATCATCCTGGATGGTCGGTCCTACATATTGAAGTTCATTTAATGAAACGCCTGTATTTGATGGTGCAGAGCCATCAAATACTACTCTAAGTTTGGTTGTAGTACTGGCTTCGTTGACCACCCCATGATGTGGAAGAAAATACACTACCTCATCAGCTTTTGAGTCCACCACTCTTGTCATATGACCCGATCTTTCATAATCTTCCATGAAATTGACGTATTCTTTTCTAAATAACTCATTTCTGGCAAACCGTTTTTCCAAGGAAAAGAATCGATTCAGAGCATTTTGTCTTGAATCCCCTAACTTTAGTATTGATTGCTTAAATGGAATACGTACGACAAACTTTCCATCTACCCCACGTTTCATATTTTGAACAAAATGTTCCTCACACTCTTTTTCCTCAATAGACCATCTCTGTACACTCTCATTCACCTCCTCGATTTCCCAGAATTTAACTAGTTGTTTATTCACCTCTTTCTTCGCATTGAAATTGCAGATAGTTTTCAGTTCATTCACTTGTGAATTAATCCTTCCCGATATAATCCATCCTAAAGCAGTATCTTGTAATACTGGCTTATGCTGTCCTAAGTTTATTCTTTCTGGGCCTATCAAATGCCAGAAAATCTCTGCCCCTATCAAAACATCCACATTGGATGGAATGAAAAACTTAGGATCTGCTAATTTCACATGTTCTGGAATTTCAAGCTCATCAGTCTTAACTTTCTGTATTGGCATATTATCTGTAATTTTATCAATAACAAAACAGAATAAATCTGTTTGGAATCTCCCTATCATTGACTTAACCTGAATATGACACCTATGCTTGATTGTTGACTCTATATCACTAATGCCTGCTACTGACATCCTAACATCAGATTTTGATACTCCTATCTTTTCGCAAAAGGCACCAGTAATGAAATTTGACTGAGAAGCTGAATCTAGCAAAACCCTACCTAAATGATATTTACCTGTACCGCCTCTGACTTGTACCAATGCCGTTGACAACAAAACTTCATAATTTTTATGATTTATTTGTGTAGATAGAGCAACAGTTCGATTATCTCCCCCCCTCGGAGGCCCCGAACTAACTGAATTCTCTTCTATTTTAGATATTTCCTCATTTGGCTGATACTGGTATCCATGCAATGAACTGTGATGTTTCAGGTGGCATTTTCTACATCTTGAACCTGAACAAAATCTAGTGAAGTGGTTTGGCTTGAGACAATTAAAGCATAATCTTAGTTTCCTAGCTTCTGACACCCGCGCGTCTACTGACATTTTCAAAAATTTCTCACAATCCACTATTCCATGGGACTCTTTGCATATAGGACAAACTTGCCGTGTAGTCGACATTGACCCAGCATTCTGATTTGCAGTGTTATTAGACGTTGTAACAAAAGCCTTAGTTCTTCCTGTGTTTTCCTTTATTTTTGACCTTGAAACACCCTGACTAAGCTCTAAAGTCTCCAATAAGTCTGCTCTACCTTTAATGAAATTATTAAAATCTACCAATGTTGGTAATTCATTTGAAATCTTATAAGATTCCCATTCTCTCAGAGTTAATCTGTCTAATTTATTCGAAACTAAAAATATTATCAAGGTATCCCAGTGCTGAATAGGTTGTTCAAGGTTTTCTAGGGATCTCAGGTGCTTATTTGAGTGTATCTAAAAACTTGCGCAATTCGACCGATGACTCATTGGATATCGCTTGTACATCAACTATTGCTTTTATATGATTATGAACTAGAAGCCTTCTGTTGTCATACCTTTCCCTCAAAAGTTTCCACGCCACTGCATAATTTGCAGCTGAAAATTCTAGAGAATGTATGACTTGCTTTGCATTACCTTCTAATGCTGCGCGCAAATAATGGAATTTCTGAATTTCGCCCAACCCAGCATTTTCATGAATTAGCGATTGATATGTGTCCCGAAATTCCAACCAGGCCTCGTACATTCCAGAAAACTTCGGTAGCTGTATCTGAGGAAGACGAATTTGTGAATTCAAATTGCCTGTGGTTGAACCAGAGACTGAATTGCTAGAATTACCTACACCTGAGCCCGCTGCTCTATTTTCCAAATTTTCAGCTTCAAAACTATTATTATACTCTTCTAGTAAACATTTTCCCATTGAAATAGCCTTGAAATACTCATTTTCAAATGAATTTCGTTCATTCGACTCTTCGTCAATATCGTCTACTTCGCATTCTATTCCACCCTGTATATCTTCAAACTCCTGTAAAATACTATTGACCTTTTCTAACCGAACCTCTAGTTCGACAAACATGTTTTTACCTATATTCGGTGCGGTTTCATTCACTATTGCCTGGGTTAAATCATCCAAATAGCTCTGAAAACGCGAAAGACGCTTTTTCAAAACCCCTCTTTTCTTTTTCAATGCTATAACATTTTCGCTCGTCATTTTAACGTATTCACTTTTAATCCTATTCAATATCTAATAAAATACGAAACAACTACTCGGTATTGGTATTGGCCTTGTTTTACCCTCTGCAATTATTCTGAACTCTAAACCGACAAAATATCCAAATCGCCACTCAAAACGAATCCGAATTACAAGGAACAACAGAAAAGGGGAAGGTTACTCACAGCGCAGGTAGAATTCCAGCCGACCACTCAAGTTGCTCATGCCTTCTCGCTGCTTTCACGCCGTCTCGCCACTGGTCTGCTGTGCAAATATCGATTTGATTGTTTCTCTCATCAAATCAAACTTTTGAATGTCTCTATTTCTCGAAGGACCTTTTATCACTAATTTGCAACACTTTTCTCAATTATCCGACTCGATGGAGCATTTTTATGTTGAATAAAACAATACGTTTCTACTCATGTGTTTATTACAACAACAACTAACACGTCTGGTTCGTTCTGTGTCTTCGAAGCGTCTCTCTACTGTATGCCCGACACCAGGCGGAGAATTTTGAAAACGGGTGGGTTGACGTTACGCTAAAGGGTAGACTACATGCTACAATGCTTAAGGGCGAACGACAACAAATAATATTCTGAGTTTATGCATTAACAAGTTGGTATCCTATCAATTTGAATTTTTTTTTCGATAAATCTGTTTTTTTGTTATTCGAAGAATAATAATTAGAATTTTTGGTATTTCATTTCAAAAAATGACTTTCTATTATATCATTAGGACAGAATGGTTATGCTGAATAGTACAGGCAAGAAAAAGTTGTATGTTCCTATTTAAGTTATGGACCTACAGAGTATTGTTTTTCCCCCAATTTTTCCAATATTTTTTTTGGCGGCTTTTTATAACGCCGACGAATGAAACTAAAATATCACAGTAGTAGCAACTGTTATCAAGTGACGTACGGTTTCCATAGCCAACTTTTCAATTTTTGGCTTTAATTTTGCTTCCACCGGCCTATTCGATGAATTTCAATAATAATTTTTTTCTGATCTAGTTTCTGGTTAGATACCAACTTGTGATATATCATTAGAAAGGGAATTGACTGCTGAATAAAGCGAAAAGAAAAAAAAAAAAGGGTTTCCATTCAAAATAAGAAAGTTGATGTTACTTCCGGTCAGACCGGAAGTCAACTTCGACATGTCAATACGCTCAAATTTTAGCTCTTATGTCATTATATCGACGCTCCAAATTTCACAAACCTACTTCATACAATAACTGAGATATTCCGTAGGCAATACTTCCCTAGCCACCCGGTATATAGATATATAGACGGGGTTATGAACTATGTATCATTATTCATTCTGTTTTTTAGGAACCTACGTATGATGATTCACGTAAGTGAATTATTATTTTAATTTTTGTGCCTAATTTTTCAAATTATATTCCTATATCATGAAAAATCCACGATCCACTAGTCAAAATTAGCCAAAATTCATCAAAATTCAATGTTTTAGTGTTTTTTTATCATTTCTGAACATCCTATGTAAAAACATGGAACGTCATTTTGAAGGAAAAAAATAACGAGCTCAACGAAATGATAAAATAAAGGGTGTTCCATGGAAGAAGGAATCAATAATCTCACCATTATCAATGATGTCATCTCCTTCACCCTCGCACTTCTCCCTGATGATCTGCTCCAAGCGCACCCCCTGTTTCTCCAAGCCTTGCTGCTGTGCCTCGATGAGGTCCAGTTCGCGGCGGATCTCGGCCATGGGCAGGACCTTGATGGTCCTCTTCTGAGGGATGGGTTTTGGGGGAGCTTGGCCCTTTCTGCGCTTCCATCTGCCATAGGTGCTCTTGTTGGGGGTCGATAATATCGGGGATCCATCAGGAGGTGAATCTGAAGATGAGAAGCTTGGAATGATATTCAATCGACTGTTATTTGTTTTTCCCTTTTAAAAATCAAATTTGATACTGGCAAGAGATCTATGTATACACCGTGTTCCAGCTAAAATTTAATCCAACCGCTCCATCGAATGACTTGAAATTTGGTCATCCAGTATATTTGAAGATGATAACTCGAAATAAGCGATTGAATTAATCTTATGTATACAGGGTCATACCAAAGTGTACCTAAACTCTCTTATCTGAATAGGGCACTCAGTATTCCATATTCAAGTTCATTATAACAAATTCAACAAAGATGGGTTTGATGGGATTTTTCAAACGACTATGTAGATATGGTCAAAGAACTGTTTGAATAATGAAAGTGGAAGGAATATCGACCTGGACAAATATCTAACTTATCCAATAAACAAGTAATGACAATGATAGGTTTATCAACTTGTACTTATAGCGACAATTAGACCTGATGCTAAGGAAACCTTTGAAGTAAGTTATCATATATCTGTCAATTCAATTCTGTCAGTTGATTTAACAATTGCGAACTAGTGGTTATTTAGTAGTTATTTGAATAATATAAAGTTAAAGAATGTCTGATTTCGAGTTTTCTCTGACTTCACCAAAATACATATTTTAGTTTGTTGCATGCCCTCTGATTAGTGAATATAAATTAATAATTGACGCGATGATATATTTTTGGTGTTGCCGCCTGTTGCTGATCATTTTGACAGTTCATTTCAAGTCGAGGTTTTAGGCTTTAGTCACGGATAATAATATGCTTGTTGAGAGTAATCTCATGGTTAGTAAAATAATTGCAGTATCATTAGATTATCTACCCAATCATCTCATTTTCCTGTGTATTTCCATTTTTCCAATGAATTATCTGATAGCAGTAATTATCTTGAATGTAGTGTATACAGGCTTAATCACGGTGGTTGACTCATCAGAGTTCTCTGGAGAACCAGATAACGGATCACTTCGAAAATTTGATGGAAGAGCATATTTGGACATCCTTTACATAACAACAATTCGGTGCTGCCACTTTCATTAGCAAGTAGAAAGCAGCTTTGATTTTTCAAATGAAACACTCTGTATATAATATCATTTTTAGAATCACCAACAATTTCCCAACAACTTATTTTCATATTTTCCTATAGCTATTCTGTTATTTTTCGAATTAAAAGTCAATTTCAATTTTTTTGTGAAAAAATCATGACCTTCAAAAATGCCGATAACATAACATGAATTGGAAGTTCTCCATACTTCAGGCTTATCTCCGTTACTTCAATACAGGGTGGTAAAAAAAATACAGATTTTTCGTTTGCTTGTAGAAGTGACTGAAAGTTTATTAATTTGAATGGAACGCCCTGTATATCATTAAAAAATTGGAAAGCTGTTGAAATTTGCTTTCTTTCTATATGTATTAACCTAATTTGTCAAGTTTCGGACTTATGAGCATTTCTTTGAGAAAATGTACCTTCAAAATGGTCCCCCTTCGGATACAAATGTTAAGATATTTGAGGTTTTTTTAGTTTCACATATCGCCCCCAGAGGAATTTTTTCGACATGGTTGATTTTCTAAAGAATATCAAATGCAATGGTATGCTTTTATATTATGAAAAAGTTTCTAAATTATGCCTGAAGAAACTCGCAAAAACCGCATTTCGATAACTTCTTTATAACCTAAAATGTTGGTCAAAGAAAATTGTATACGGAAATTCCCGAGGGGCATTTTACTGAGTGAAATTATGTAAACTAATTCCTAATTCGTAATGCCTCACAATTCCACATAATTCGTAATTCCCCATTCGCAATTACTCTCAATTCCTTGGCAATTCCTCGGTAGTTTCTCGCAATACCTTGAAATTTCTCATATTTCTTTGTGGTACTTGTTGATATTTAAACAATAGGGATGTTATGTTCTTATGCTTGACAAAAAATTTCAATACCTACCTACCTTCTCTCCCTATCCTCCCTAAATACGCAAGATGTTATTCGAATATCATAATGATTTCCTTTCGTGCGCTTCAAGAGATGAAAAAAATAAATAAAGAGTTTTGTTCATATGCTAATCTGAACTTTGATTGAAGTGTATATAAGGTGTAATATTCTAAGAGATACATGTAGCCCAGCACTTAGTATACAGGGTGAGTCGTCTACAATTCTTTTCCAATATATAGGGTGAATAATGAGATTTGGCAAAAACATATTTTGGTCATAACTTTCCATTAGCTTCTTGGATTCTTCTGATTTTTTCATAGAATATTCCACTACTACTCTCTTATCGACTGACTTATTCAGAATCGGGAAAATCCAGGACCGTTCTTGAAAAATTTTGATAGTTTATTTTATAGGAAAAAGTTTATTCTGTATACCGTTTTTGTAGATTGTGACAGGGAATTTTCAAGGGTCACAAACATCAAAAATAAAATATTTTAAATTTTCCTCACACTTTCACTGCAGTTTGAAAAAAACTATCAATTTCATGAAAAAAACGAAAGTTAGGCAAGAAATTAATTTATTTGGAAATAAATACTTCGCAACCCACAAATTTTACGAATAAAAGTGAGACTTGGATTTTCAATGGTTCAGCTCAATGGAAATCAACATATTATTTTATTTTCAGGCCTGGATTTGGTATAATTAAATTTTTTTGTGGAGGATAATAATCACCCTGTAGATCCTCTTCGATTCAAAGGATGAGCTATATGTGAAAATGTTGATGGCCATCGTTATAAATAATTTTATGATTCCAATTCACAGTTTTATCTATTCGATTTGTTTTATGCAGTTAATTTGGTCACTTATTTTCCGTACTAGAATTATTATCCGCCTTTGTCAGTAAAGCTTTTGAAAAATAATCGTGAGTGAACCTAAATTTTCTGTTCGACTATCTCGAATTATTTGAATAGATGACCATTAAGATCTAAACAGGTCTACTGAGTGATTATTACCCTCCATAAAAAATGAAATGACGAAATCCAGGCCTGGAAATGAAAGAACATGTTGATTTCCGTTGGGATAAAGCACTGAAAATATGTGTCTTACTTCTATTCGTGAAATGCGTTGCGAAGTAATTATTTTCGAATGAATAAAATTTGTTGTCAAACTTTCGTTTTTGCTTATAATTTATCGTTTTTTGAAAAATTCTGTGAAAGTGTGAGGAGAATTTTGAATATTTTATTTTTGATGCTTGTTTGTGTGCTTTGAAAATTCCCTGTAAAAGTTTACAAAAACCATATACAGGATGAACTTTTTGATAAAAACTAAAATATCAAAATTTTTCAAAAACGGTCCTGGATTTTCCAGATTCTGAATAGGTCAGTCGATTAGGGTTTAGTAGAGGATTTCATGAACAAATCAGACGAATCGAAGGAGCTGTTGAAAAGTTATGACCAAAAAATGTTTTTGACAAATCTCATGATTCACCCTATATATCGGTAAAGAAAAGAAGAAGACACTTTCTAATGGTCATTAGGTATTCCCCTCAGGGGCATCTATTCGTGGCAGGAGTATGTACAGTACCTCATGACACACCCTGTATACTAAATGCTGGGCTACATGTATCTTTCAAAATATAACACCTTATATACACTTTATCCCAAGTTAAGATTAGGATATGAACAAAATTCTTTAATTTTCATTTTTGTATCTCTTGGAAGCGCAAGAAAGGGCATATCCCTATGATATTCGAAGTACATCTTGCGTATTTAGGGAGGATAGGGAGAGAAGGTAGGTGGGTATTGGAATTTTTTTGTCAAGCATAAAAACGTAATATTCCAATTGTTTAAATATCAACAAGTACCACAAAGAAATATGAGGAATGTCAAGGTATTGCGAGGAATTACCGAGGAATCAAGAGTAATTACGAGGAATTGTGGGGAATTACGAAGAATTACGAGGTGTAACTATTCAATATATTGAATTATGAGGCATTATTTTGGCATCGAGGAATTAGTGTTCCTAATTTCACCCAGCAAAATGCCCCTCGGGAACTTCCGTATACAATTTTCTTTGACCAACATTTTAGGTTAGGAAGAAGATATCGAGATGCGGTTTTTGCGAGCTTGTTCAGGCATAAATAAGAAACTTTTCCATAAAATAGAAGCATACAATTGCATATGATATTTTTTAGAAAATCAACCATGTCGAAAAAAGTCCTCTAGCGGCGACATGTGAAACTAACAAAACCTCAAATATCTGAACATTCGTATCCCAAGAATAGCTCTTTTCAACTAGCTCAAGTTTGTTAAAATCGGCTCAGCTGATTCTCAGATTCAGTACCTCGCATTCTTAGTTGGCCACCCTGTACATAAAAAGAAAGCAAATTTCAGGAGCTTTTCAAATTCTCAATAACTTACTGGTGTTCCATTTCAAATAATAAACTTTCAGTCACTTCAAGCAAATAAAATAACTGCATTTTTGTACCACCCTCTATTGAAGTAAAAGAGATTTCGCTGAAGTGTGGAAAATATCCCAGTATAGCCTAACTTCAAACCAAATTTCGATATCATAGAACTTCTTTACTAAAAGATATTGGCATTTTTAGAGGTCATGATTTCCGAAGAAAAAAATTTGAATTAATTTTCAATTCGAAAACGGTGACAGATAGCTATAGGGAAATAACAAGAGAAGTTGTTGGAGCATTATTGGAGATTCTAAAAATTATATTATATACAGGGTGTTCCATTTGAAAAATCCAAGTTGCTGCTGCTTTCTAATAGAAGTGTCAAAACCGCGTTGTCGAAAATATTTCAGTTGGGTAGAGAATGTTATGTTATGTTATTATGCTCCCCATCAAATTTTCAAATTTATCCGTTGTCTGGTTCACCGGAAACGTCTAATGTGCGATCCACCGTGAATCAGCCATATATTAGCTTCAGCTATGAATCAAACAATCATTTTCCAATATTCTCAGATATTCTGTTTATTTTTTTAAACAAACTTCAATCAAACCGACAATGATAGGCAATTTCATTGAGAAATGAACAAAATATTAAGAGAGCAGTGTAGCACACGCAAAAAGCAAAAACAATGCAATGGGAACTTACCTCTAGTTAATAAGCTTCAAAAAACTATTATTGTTCATTATTGTCCCAACACCTCTGTCAAAACCACATTAGTAAGTAAACTCCGATAGAACCCTAGTTAACTGATTTGAAATGTTTACAATTTGCCTAGAATAAGACACATTCAGGCATATATATCATATACAGTTCTTCATGTTTCAATTAGTTTATGCACGACCGGGCGTGAAGTAGCTTTTTATTGCCCGGTTTTGCATGCGTAGTGGCCCTTTAGTGCCTGAGGACTACTTTATCGCTTGTATAACATTATCAGTCTCACCAAATACCAAAATTTTGCCGGATAGCCTTGAAGACTGTGGTATGTTTTATCGATTATTTTCTTCATAAAATTTAAAACCAATAGAACGTTCAATTAAGCTGAGCTACCTTGTATAATTTCGAATATATACGTGGTTATACATAGAGTAGTTCCACCTTGAGTTCCCCAATTCAAAAATATATTTATTTATTTATTTTCATTTATTTACTTATTTTATATTCAGGAATACAAACAGGACGAGCCTAAAAACAATATTCACAGGAAGTTATATAACATGATAATTATATTATTTATTATTATTATTATAGAAATTTAGTCGGGTACCTATTTCAAAATTGAGGATGAAAATTCAAAAGAAATTGAAAAAATACAATAAATATGCAAGGTGGTATCAAGGATTCAAAGGTTCGAGAAAAGTATGTTTTGAGTTTATTTACAAAGGTTTCAAATGAATTACAAAATATATCAATATCAATCAGATTTGATATTTAATTGTAGCTTTTGAAGCAGCGATGATGGGAGGAGTTCAAATAGTAATTTGTGTTGGTTCCATTCATTTAGCACTGTTTGGCGTATAGGATTGTAAGCGTTTTTTCTTTTTATTTATTATCTATGAATAGATCGTAATGAATATCTATCAACAAACACCTCAAATCTAACATCATATTGGTAAGGAATTCTCAAATCTATGAACATCATACTAGACAATATGACTTGTTTCATCTTGATGCTGCTAATTCTACACTTGGCCAATAAAAGTTTACTCGCGGAGCTATCTCAAAATTCAATAAATTACCTGATGATAAAAGTTACACAAATATCACCCAATTCAAAATTGAAGTCCAGAAACATATCCTCTTGCAAAGAGAAAATCAAACCTGAATGAATGATTTCTCAATCACTAATTTATTTCATCATATCATAATGTACTTGTCATGAACATTTTGTTTTATTATTATTATTTCTGAATCTGTTGTTCATTTCAATGATTTAGATTTAATAACGCATTAATAATCTCATACCAGATATGAATCTGTCTGAATATTTATGTTATTTCATTTAGTTTCCATTTATTTTTATTCAGTATGAGGTTGAAACTCACTTATTTCTAGTTCAATTGTTTAATTTAGGTATAAAAAATCCCCACCATTCGCTGTTTCATTCATTTATCCGTGTTTGGCGTTCAGGATGTTTGGCGTATACTTTTTGATGATTTATGATTGAATCGCGGTGTTATCTATTGTTTAGTTTAAGGCTGAAAATCACTTCTTTGGTTTTAATTGTTTGATTTGTTTAATTGAATACGAAGTTGATGATTCAACATGCTTCGTTCGACGCCTCTCGTCACAATGTTTAGAAAAAATTTCGCAATTAGAAATATCGGTGGACTCGTCAAAAAGAAGCCACACACATCATTATGGACAGACGATAGTCATTTTTGAATAGGGATACTGTCCCTTGGACTGATAATAGATATTCAATATTCAATGTCTAACACAATATGCAACTGGTCCTTGGTTATAATAAAATTCCCAACATCCAACATCGCTCTTTATTCTGGACACAGTCACAAACACTCATTCCTTCCACGTACTTCTCTGTACATTCTGCTTGTTCCTGTTCGCCTTGTCCTTGACGAGCTTCTCGCCGGACGAAACGTCGCCTGGTCCCCCAGCTCCAAATGCGGCATCACGATTGACAGATTGCAAGCCCCGCAAAGTTACAAAAATCCTAACCTGATATTTCACAGGTAGGTACGTACAAATTTGGTCCAGTGACGGTATTGTTTGAGGGCTTGCTTTTTGTATACTAAAGGCATGTTCAAAATATTGAAAATATGGAATAACTTCACCAAGAAGGTACAAAATGTCAGTACAATACGTGAGAATTAGTTAATCAAAGCTCATAACACACATTTATAGAAATCTTGATTCATAAGATATATCGAATATATGGATTCTTTGACAATGATTCCGCAGTTATCCTCACCATTTGTTGTTTCATTCATTCTTCAGTGTTTGGCATTCAGGATTGTTAGCGTTTACTTTTTGATGATTTATGAATAAATCGCGGTGCCCATCTATTGTTATTTAGTCTAAGGCCGAAATTCACTTCTTTAGGTTCAATTGTTTAGGGTATGTTCCGTAAATCAACTTGGTTTTTTCCGCTAGTAGTTTTCCGTTCCGTAAATACGAGAATTCGGTTGCTAAAAAAGCGGTAGTTTCACTGTCACCAGAACAACCGTGGATTTTCTCTGTTAAGTTCGGTAAGTTTGAGTTGACGTTAACGTGTTTAGTTTTCAGTTCGATTCTTCGATTCACAAATGACAACGAAGAACAAGATTCTTCTTTAACTATTGCGTTAAGTTCCGATGGATTAATTTATTGAGGTAAATTAATAATATTCGATATATTTTCAGTTCGATGACGATTTCAGTACACTGCATCCTTTGCTTTTGCTTACTGTGCACAAGAATTAGGGGCTTTCTGGTGCCATAATTGAAAATCAAATACTTGCAGTGCAGGGCATCAATGTTTAAAAAACGATCAAAACTATAATTTGACAACTGACTGGCATTCGTTAAATGAACCACAACCGTTGTCACCAGTAGATAACCGCGGTCAAGATTGTTGGTACCGGCCCTGAAAGCATCGGTCACCTCGGTTGTGAGTAAGTAAGTAAGTAACTAAGTAAGTAATTACTTCATTTGACCACGTTAATGTATACACATTTTGCAGCAAGTCAGGTTAAAAGTCGATAACTGACTGATTCGTGTTGATTAACGGAACATAAACGTAATTGAAATATGAAGTTGATGATCTACCATGCTTCGTTCGATGCACCCTCGTCACAATGTTTTACTCTACTACATGCAACTGGGCCTTGGTTAGTAAAATTCCCAACACCCAACATCGCTCTTTATTCTAGACACAAAGTGACAAACACAAACACTCAATCCTCCCACGTACTTCTCTGAACATTCTGCTTGTTCCTGTTGGCCTCGTCCTTGACGAGCTTCTCGACGGACGAAACATCCCCTCTGACCGGGTCCGATAGCGAGGGGTCCTCCAGCTCGATGGGCGACGGCACGACGGCCAGCTTCGGCAAGCCCCGACTGCTGGGGTCCGGGGTGGAGGAGAAAGTGGGGGGCGGCGGGGCTCGCTTCTTCGGCACGCTTCTCGGGGTCGACCGGGGCGATGGGTGCTGTAATAATAATGATAATAATATGAGTTTACTAGCTGACCCGGCAGCGATTTTACTAAATATAAACTATTGCAGCACAAGACACGCCCCCCATAATACGTCATATCTCATACTGTGCTCCAACGCAAGAACTGAAGCTTTCTCGTTATCAATCTCTTGTACGCAGTAAATTCATACACTCAAATGGTCTACTGGTTAGCGCTGTCGACTCTCAGTCTGAAGGTTCATGGTTCGAATCGCTGTGAACTCGAACTTTTTTTTGCAACTTTTTTTTTCACCAATGTTTTTTTACTTCATTCTGGTTTTCCTTTTTCATAAAATATTTGAAGTCAAATAGGTTAGTGCGTTTAGGATAAACAGTCTCATTTTATTCAATTTTGTTGAAGAACTCAACTTTTGAAATATTTTATTAATCAATGTGTTTCTACACTCCATTCGGTTTTCCTTCCTCAAAAATATTGCAATCAGGGATAGGTTAGTTCGTTGAGGATAAATAGTCTCTGAGTTTTGCCTAAGTAAAGTACTTTGAAGATGAGATATAACGTGGTATGTGCTACTTTTTCAATCGATTTATTTATATGAATCAGCTACGTTGTGCTGTCAAAGATTAGATTTTGCAGGATTGTGCTGGGCTCGATTATATTTTGCAATGCCGTAGTAGGGGGCGTGTCTTGTGCTGCAATAGTTTATATTTAGTAAAATCGCGACCCGGCAAACGTTGTTTTGCCATAACATTCTAGAAAAAACGTTTTCACATAAATATTCATCAAAGAACTTTCATTATTGTATTTTTCTACTCACATAACTAAAATAGCATTTAGCGTACGGATATGTACCACGCTGAATGATCGATTAATCACGGATTGACGATCTGTGATTTATTCAAAATATTAAACACGTTACCATGGCAACACGATTTCTCAAACACATTACCATGGCAACACAGTTCATTGAACACAGCTTCAGTAATTTGGGACATGTCTGGCCTGTCAATTGTATTAACTGTCAACTGTTATTTTCAAATTTTGTATCAGAATTATTCAAACGATATTCGTTTGTATCAGAGTTCTCCATTGAAAATATATGCGGAATGTAGACGAATGTGAAATCGCAGAGAATGTTCTGGTACTTGCATATTTCCAAGAAATATAAAAATGAAGCATCCATCTTTGAGAACAATTTATTTATTTTGCGCTAAGCATGACAATAAACGTGAAACAAAGGTTAGTAAGCAATGGACTGGACACATCTACAACCAATATCACTAATACGTGTCTCGCTAGTTGCATGCAGTTGTATGTATTATGTTCTCAATTCCCATTTCTTTCGAAATATTTTGTAGGTTAGCAGGAATAGCAGGTATGTTAATGTAATTTTCGGAGTTCGTAGAAAAAGCATAGTATGTAACGCGTTTATAAACTCTTCTAGACACTCGTATCAAACACTCGCTCCGCTCTGCTCCGCTCGTGCTTAAAATACTCGTTACCAAAAGGGCGTTTATAACACTTGTTACATAATATACTATTATACTTCTTTTTAGTTCGCAACTCTATATCTCTTCATTTTTCCATATTTATTTACTACTCACTTCTTTTTAGTTTGGCTATCTATAAAAACGAGTTTCATTAGTTTTTCAAACTACTATTTATTACAATAGCTGATGCTGATACCTGGCACACGTTGTTTTGCTCTATACATTTTCTTCTAGAAAATATTCTTTTAATTAAATATCCATCAACACACTTTTATTATTTTGTTTTGAACTTCTTTTTAGTTTGGATATCCATGAAATCGTGTTTCATTAGTATTTCAAACTACTATTTTTATCGAGATTTTTATTTTCTACTTCTTTTTAGTTCAACAATCTATATCGTTTTTTGAACTATACTATCAATTTTCTACTTCTATTCAGTTTGGCCTCGAGTTTGGCTATCTATAAAAGCGTGTTTCATTATAGTTTTTCAAACTACTATTTATTACAAAGCTCGCACCATATCGGATCCGCCATCTTGAATTTCTTAATTTTAACCTCTTAACCGGTACAGCTGAAGTATGACGGATGCACCCACTCTGGGCGGCAAAATCGTCGCATGCGCATATATCCGTCATATTCGATTGAGCGTCGATTCGCGTATATGTCCGTCTTGATCAGTATGAAGGAAATTTATTGCAGTACACGCAGTGAATACAGTATTACATAAAATATTCCGAACATATTTTTATTGACACAAAATAATTGTAGATATAAGCTATAAAATTTTCACGATCACCAATTACTTGGAATGGTAGTCTCTGAAACATGGAGCTGGACAAAGTCCAGTTCTGCAATCCAAGCACCAGTATCTGGGTTCTTTCCTTACTCCCTTCTGTGAACACAGAACACACCGTTTTGTAGGTTTCTGTTTATTTGCCGTTGGAGGAATGATGGCTGGAAAGTGCCGTTCTATAAGCCGACTAGGATTATGTGTTTTTGAACGCCTTATTGGATTACTCATCGGCTCACCATATTTTGCAATAATTTTTTCTGCCAGCTCAATAATGAAATTGAGTCGCGATTTTCTTCCTCCACTTTTTTTGTAGAGTATGTAGGAATTGAACATTGCAAAATTCATCATTTGCATGAACAACTTTTTATAAAATTTCTTGAGATGAGTTCTGGCCAACGAATAGAAATGGAGGCAATTATCAGCTAAGTCAACTCCACCCATGAGTTGGTTATATTCAGCAACGACAGCAGGTTTTTTGATTTTTTTATTTCTTTGATCTATTTCGATCATATTGTCATCATGGACAGTGCTCACCATGAGTATATCTTTTTTATCCTTCCATTTCAGGAGCATTTGTTTTCTTCGGTACATTGCAAAAGTTTGTCCCTTTTCTAGCTTCTTACTCTTCATTTCTTCTGGAACTCCTTTTCTATCCAATCTCATGGTTCCCACACAGTCTGTCTTTCTTCGTAACAATTGATCCACTAAATTTGGACTCGTATAGAAATTATCCAGATACAGACAGTATCCCTTATCTAATAGATTATCTGAGAGCGCCAAGACAGCTCGAGCTGAAAGTGGTTCATCATTGTATTTGTGGCCCTAATCAGTGTCTTTTCCTATATAGATTATGAAATTATAAACGTAGCCAGACGAACTTTCACATAACATAAAGAGCTTCATCCCAAACCTCTTCCTCTTCGAAGGTATATATTATTTCCACTGAAGACGACCCTTCCACCCTACTAAAGATTCATCTACAGAAATATTCCTGTCTGGAATGTAGGTCGTCATGAATTTCCCCCTCATGTGGTCCAGTATAGGTTTTACCTTGAATAATTTACGACTAGGCATATTTTCCTGCATTAGGTTGTTATCAGCGAAATGTAAGAATTCCATCAATAAACTGAAACGGCTTTCTTTCATGATTTTTGTGAAAAATGGCATTTCAATGCTTTCACGCCTAGTGGAATAAAGCTCGTAAGACGGTTTCATGCAGACACTTTGTAAAATGAGTATGCCAATGTGTGTTCTGATCTCATTCGGATTAGTTACTTTCCATTTTCGTACTCTAGATTTTGGCTTAATATTCTCCCCGTTCCTTATAATATATTGATTGGCATATCTGAAAATACAAGTTATATTATACTAACATATGTATGAATGCTTCGAATAATCTAGGTACCTGTCAGTTTCCTCAACAATTATATGAACAAAATCATCATCAATGAAATGTTCAAATATCTGCAATACATCGTTGCAATCTGGAATAGCTATTTGTACACCAGAATCAGAGGTGAATGGAAAATATGGACGTGGTACCCCAGTATTTGTCCAAGGAACATCAATTGGTGGAGCTGCAACTTCATCATCAGATTGTTCAGACAAGTCGTCGTCACCACTAGATAAATCATAATCACTATCCAATGAACTAATTGACAAGAGGCTATCACCATCTGACCATTCACTGCCTTCAGAATCACTTTCTATATCTATTATCTTTCTCTTAGACATCGTGATGCACCTAACGAACGATCAATGCTGACTGTACAAATAAAAATGATTCGGAAATATGCGTTGTTTACACCAAATTCTTCAGCGAAGTGTGGGGATGCACGTGATCTATCGCTAGCGGACTTATACGTATTATCCATTGAGAGGACCAACAAAAATCTCTCGGCGAATATATTCGTCATATTCGTAGTGCAACAATTAGTAGTTAGCGGATATGATCGTCTTATTCGCTTAAGAGGTTAAAGAATAAAATCATAATCTCCGACCCCGAAAACCCCCAGATACAGATTTTGAATAGAATCGGATCATAATTACAAAACTCGTCTGCCATATTGAATCCTCCATCTTCAATTTCCTAATTTCCATGAAAGAATCATAATCTCCGACCCAAAAATCACCCAAATACAAATTTTGAATGAAATCGGATCATAGTTACAAAACTCGTTCGCCATGCTAGATCCGACCCCCAAAACCACCCGATACCAAATTAAAATATTATCTGACCATAATTACAAAACTCGTCCGCCATATTGGATCCGCCATTTTAAATTTCCTAATTTTGATAAAAAATCATAATCTCTGACCTCGAAAACCCTCAGATACCAATTTTGAGTATAATTGGATCATAATTACAAAACTCGTCCGCCATATTGGATCCGGCATTTTGAATTTCCAAATTTTGACGAACGAACCATAATCTCCGACCCAAAACCCTCAGATACCAATTTTGAATATAATTGGATCATAATTACAAAACTAGTCCGCCATATTGGATCCGCCATTTTAAATTTCCTGATTTTGATGAAAAATCATAATCTCTGACCTCGAACACCCCCAGATACCAATTTTGAATGGAATCTGACCGTAATTACAAAACTCGTCCGCCATATTGAATCCGCCATCTTGAATTTCCAAAATTTGACAAAAGAATCATTATCTCCGACCCCGAAAAACCCCTAATACCAAATGAATGAAATCGGATAATGATACTCGTCCGCCATATTGGATCCGCCATCTTGAATTTTCGATTTAAAAAATAGATTACGATCGATTCTCATACCTACCGAATACGCATAAAAAATTTCATACGAATCGGTCGAGCCGTTTCGGAGGAGTTCGACCACTAACACCGTGACCGGGACAGGAGAATTTTATACAGTATGATGCAAATGTATGGAATAAATTCATTATTTCAGAAATGGGCGACATTTGAAAAAATTCCAAAAACACGTGAGTTTTAATTTCTGAAGCCTCATCTCATGATATTCATTTGAGAGATGTTACGTCACCGGTGTTGGAGTAGGAGTAAAGACGTAATGGACGATTTTTTCAAATACAAATAGGGGTCATGTGACACCTTGATTGAAAGGTCTACCGATCGTCTATTCAACAGTCAAAATGTTGCATAAGAAGATTGAAATTAAAATGGATTATCATGTGATTAATTGAATCTTGCAGAGGTCTGCTACTGAGAATTGAACATCGAAGGGTCGTCTAGTTAAAAAGTTAACACAAGTTCTACTTTTTCAAATTGAAGTGGGGGTTTTCAAACAAATACTTTTTCATTTGTGTCTTGAAGTTTGAAAGGCTACAGCTATCGAATTCGAATAGAATGTTATTGAGAATTTGGGTGATTTGAAAAGAGAAAGAAGATCTAAATTGTTCAGTTTTATGGATAGGTAGTGTTAACGAAGCTTTATGTCAAAGATTCAGATTATATCGTTTGTGAAGTTTTTACAAATGTCAATAGCTTGTGTGTGTGAGTCATGATTGTATATAAAATTCAAGGACGAATTGAATGCATTACTGAAAAAATACTTGCTATGTTAATTTTAAAGTTGTGTATTACTCACCAAACTGTGACTAGGACTCGAAGTCAGCGAACCGGGCCCAGAATCGTCGAACCTGGTCGGAATGGGAGGCCTGGGAGCCGGTTTCTTCTTCCTAGCACTTCCGTACGCACTACCGCTCGATATCGACGAGTTGGAACCGAAATTCGTCTTCGTCGTCAACGAAGAATATCCTCCCGCATCCCTAGGCCTGGGCTCGGGAGCTCCCACTGAAGTCCTGGTGACACGATATTTCAACATGACCGATAGTTCGATATCAAGAATCGAGGAATAGCATTGTTATAGCGTACGCTCTGTGCATATGAAACAATGAAGACCGATGCAGGCGACAGTTACGCATAATTAACCAGTTAGTTGAGTCATTTGCCTCGATATTTTACATCAAAAGGGCTGTGACTTCACGAGCACTCTTTTTCTTCTATTTAACACGAAAGAACAGTTTGAGTATATTCCAGAGCTAGTGGAGCAACGTACTGATACTCATTGTTTTATTTCATTTGCAATAACTGTTATTTGTGTTTATCTATGTGGGTAAATTATTCGGTCAGGATGTGGAGGTGTATCATTAAAATATTGGATTTGTGTGCACTCGATGGTTATTAAAGACTTTCTAGAGAGGGAAATGATATGCATGAGTTTATGGCGATTGAATGCAACGGGTATAATCAGAGTGATCTTGACATATTTGAAGACTGCTTCAAATACATTTGCAATTCAACCAACTTTGAATGAATTATTAAACGTGGAGGGGAAGTATCGGGCAATGACCAACTCAAACAAAATCAATACCTTAACAAATATACAAAAATATTTGACGAAACATGTATTTTTTATGCATACTGGACCTCAATGTTTCACTACCCTGTGGGTCAATTTATCATTACTTTGCTATGGTGTTCTCAGTGTCTGTGACTAAAGTATCATTTCAATAATTCTTTTCATCTGTATTTATATCGGTTTGGGTCTTATGAATGAAAATTTATCAAATATATTGTTATTGTACAAAAAAATAACTACAATTTTGATTAACATAAATTTCTCATTGGAACCGGAAGTGCATCAAAATATGTAGCCGCTCATACTCGTCGACAAACTTTAGTCTAAACTCTTGGGATTTTCTCCTGATTTTTATCAATGAAAATATTAGTATTATTCCAAGATATTTGTAGTAAGGACAATTAAGATGAATGGCTCCACAATGTGACTACGTTCGAAATTTATCAGAAACCTGAAATATAAATTCAATTGATAGTCAGTGACACCTCTTGTTAGAAAAATATTTGGATGAGAGTAATTATAGATCTATTGAAGAATATAACATTTTCACTTATTTTTAGAGATGTTTCGGGAACGAATCTTTTGGCGGCTAATTTTTTTTGCGATCATACAACAAGTTTGAATATATGATATATATTTGATCAGACGAACATTTCATTCAAATTGTCAGATCTCGCGCGCCCTTTGTTTCACGAAGCCCTCTAGGAATTTTCGCGAGATAATTTGATTGATGATGCTAAAAAAAAAGATTTTGAAAATTGAGAATATTTCCTCAGTGGGCCCCCAGTAGTACGGATGAAACGACTGAAGTGTATTTCCAACGATGTTGAAAAAATTATTCACCAAATATGAAAAAAAAAAATTGAATCGTTTACTGATTATTGTAAAACTGTAACACCAAGTAGAATCTCGAAAAACAAAACAGTCATATTTTTGCTGTGAACATTTTCTGATAGACCCCGACCACACTACATACATCTATCTAATACAATAAGTTATCTGATAAATCATAATTCACCACATGTAAAAATATTCAAAATCCTGATTATGACTTTAACAATCAGGCAATAACGAAAAAAGTTGTTCCTAATGCCAGACAATTTATTATGGTGACTATATTATACCATACCTTGAAGTTCTCGGTTTTGGCACTGGCTGCTTCTCAGGTTCTTCATTCTCCTCATCACTCCAGAATGGATTCAAACTGATCTTCGGCGCAGATATAACCTTTTTGTGCCTGGCCACAGGTTTGGGAGGCTTCATTTCAACCATACCGCCATCCTCGTCATCACTACCAAACGGATTCACGCTTACCCTCTCTATCCGCAGACTGTTCAGATGTTCTTTATCGAAGGAATGGGGTTGAATCTTCTTTTTTAATCTGGGGCTAGCTACAGGTCTTAACGGTACTGAATTTTCTTCTTCACTGTCACTGCCAAACGGGTTTAGAGACTGTTGCTGAGACTTTTGCTCATCGTCATCTCCAAATGGATTCAAATCATCGGGATACTCATCTGCTGTACTGTGTTCAGAACTCTTAACGTCAGACGTAAGAAGTGAATCAACTTTGCTTTCTACTGAATGATTAATTTCTGAGTTCGTCTGGAAACTTTCTTCAGCCTCATCGACTACAGAAATCTGCTGATCTACAACAGGCGAATCTTCTATGAGTATTGGACTATCATCAGAAATTACAATAACTTCGTCAGAAGTGTTAGGAGTTGTATAGGGTGTTGAAAAGAAGTCCTTCGTTTCATTAATATCACATACATTTATATTGTCATTAGACAGTTCAATGAATTTATCAGTTGAGTTCTCATGAGGCAGTTTATCAGGAGCTAAATCTTCCTCAATATTATGTGTATCTTCTTTCAGTTCGATAATTTCATTTGAGTTCAAATGAGGACGTTCCTTTGAAACTATATTTTCAACTACATTTCTTTCATCTTCTTCTTTTACTCCAGCTTCTGAAATATCTTGAATTATCTCTCCTTTTATGTCTTCGACACTGGAACCTTGTGCTATATGAGCTATTGAAGGTTCCTCTAGGCTTACGTCACCATTCATGCTGTGCTTCAAAGTGCTTTTGTTGGAAGGTGAGTCAATATCCTGGTTAGTATTATTATTTACTTTTCTATCACAACTACCATCATCGAAGTTCTCCAGTTCTTCTATTCTTACAATTGGAATGGTTGTGCTAGGAGATTTAGCTTTAGGCACTTCACTACTTAGCGAAACTCTATTTACATCAGACTTAACATTATTATTTTCGAATAACCGCATGCGAGCTTTGACCAATGAGGTGTCAACCTCGTGCGGTTCATCTTTGGTAACAATATTTCGAGATTTCCGCAGTTCAATACTAGAACTACCATGGTTACTATCGCTAATCTTATCGCTACTATTTACAAGGTTAGGAAAACCACTGTCTGAGTGCACTGTTTTCAACGCTGGTTCAATCTTTTCACTCTCATCCAACTTAGGGGGTAATGTTTTGGGAATATCAGGGGGTTTTTCTTCTTCTTGTCCGGAATCGCTAGTTTCGAACTGGGTTTGGAAAAATCTGGATCTAGCTTGGGTAAATTCAGTGTTCTTCGAAAGGTTTTCAATCGAGTCTAAAGCAGTTTCGAAATCTGTACTGAAAGCATCCGGCTCGTTACTGAACGTCGACAAACTAGCTGATTTTTCTTCGTCGCTCAAAGATTTCTGCAAGAGCGACTTCTCGTTGGGATCTTTGGACACTACTTTATCTTCGTCCGGACAAATTTCGCAGCAATATTCTGCGTTTTCCGTCTCGTAGTAGTTGGCCAGAGTGAGTGGACTGTCGCAGCGAGCACAGCGAAAACACGTGCGATGAAAAAGAAGTTTTCCTACGTTCAGGCGTTCCGCCAAGAATACTGGAAGACCGCATTTAGCGCAGGGTTCTCTACGGACTCTTCCTACGCTAGTCAGTGCCACCTTAAGGAAAAAAACAATGGATGAGTGACAAAATTAAATGGTATAAATGAATACAAAAAGCTCAAAGTCACCGGTTTCGAGCTCTTTGACTCTCATCAGTGCATGGCAGTCTCCAGCCAGCAGTCCTAAGACCGCCGACTAAGCGAAGCCTAGCCAAACAAAAATCAAGTCGGCATTATATTCCCCCAGAGGCGTCTTTCTGTAGGTGTCTAGCGTGGCCTGAATAAATCGAAATCAATAGGCATTCAGGAAAGAATCACTTGTATCAGTATTCTTTTATACGAGTCGATGCATAGATTTCAGGAGGATGTAATTCAATGTTCTGCATGGCATTAGCCAGTAGTTGTTTTTCTGCAGAAATCTACCATTGTTGTTCATTATATGAACATCGTGTGGATATGACTTTGACCTTTTTGTATTTATTTAAAATTCCCACTTTGAGCATTGTGGCTATTTCGCAGTTATTGGTATAATCTACAGAAAAACATGACGCAGCAATTATTATATGAACCAACAGTGATGAGTATGTCAACTTGAATAACCTTCTCTATTAACCACTGGTCAATTATCTTTATACTATATTTATCACCTGGCTGCATGTCATTTTCATTAACATGCCTATCACCTATCACCGTAGGAAAATTACATGTAATTTTTGTTTTTGATAAAATACTCCTGTTTTTCAAGTTTTTCTTTTTCTCTTCGATCAATACGAATCAACGATGATAATATTAATTAAATAGTTGCTCTAGGTTTTTATGAGCCACATACCCTTGTTCTATTTCCAAAATTTTCACGTTATTATCAGAATATTTTCCATTTCCTAATCGGTCCCAGAAGATTTACAATAATTTTATTGAGTTAAAAAATATCATCCGAAAATAACTCACGATATTGAGAAAACTAAGATCGAAACTTTTTCATTTGGCTACTATTTGTTTTCTATTTTTCACCATGTAGCCATAATATGATCATCCATTTGGATACATGAAACTGAAATTGTTGTAATAATTGATGTATCGTCCTAACATCGTGAGTTATTTTCGGATGATTTTTTAAACTCAATGAAATTATTGGAAAATTTCTGGGGCCGAAGTGATGATCTTTGGATTTCTAAGCCTATCAAGCATCGAAATGTCATTGTATTGTGGCCGGAATACATATTTCAATAAAATGCAATCTAACAGCCAATTATGAATGAATATTAAATGGTGATACATAGATGAATAAAAATTTTTAAGGCGCATAAGATAATCAACAAAGATATACAGGGTGCCATTTGGAAAAAAAAGTTGGGTCTACTTATTCCAATCAAACAGGTGGTTGAAAAAAATTGCCATTGGGTCCAAGGAAAGCGCCATCATCGATTATATAACCCTTGTGAATTTCAAACTTTTATCACTTCAAACACAGATTACACACTCTTCAAATAAAAAACTACAGGCTGTTACATCATGTCTCCTGTGTCACCCGGTATATATATATATCCTTTTTTTTGTTCATAATTATATCTGAGAATATTCCTTTTCAGTATATTTGAGTTTGGTAGATATTTAATTATTTATTTTTCATCAGTTCAAAATTAGGGACTTCCTGATTTACCCTTTGTGTACTATTATAAATAGCTATGTATATTCATTATAGAACTACCTCGGGTTTTTACTTCGAATTATCTCAATTTTTTATTGATTATAAGTAATAGTTCAATTGAGAAAATTTATTTTTTGAGTGTTTTCATATATTTTTTCTACATTCATGCAAAAAGCAGAACTTTATTGAACTATATTTAGTGGAAAAAGAAGTTCTTTATTGCACTTAGTGCAATAAAGTTTTTATTGCACTCATCTGTCATTCTACTTCAACGTGTTGTCATCATGACAAACATTTTTTATATTGCAACTGTGGTTATAGAAACGTCAGTCAAAAATTAATTCTGACAATTAACAACAATTGTACCTAGTGCCGCACCTCAATAAATCATTTTTTGCTTTTTGCATGAACGTAGAAAAAATGTTGTATGTTACTCGTGCAAAAATTGTTTATTGCACTCGACGTGAAATTGTCCGACGAGGCCGTCACTTCTTGCACTTGTTGCATAAATAACTATTTCAAGTTGTGTTTTTGCATATTTGAAATTCAATTAACACCAGAATGACAATGTTCACCATTAACAAGAAACAATTAGTGTTCTTATATTAAAACATGCATTGATTTACCTTTAGCAAAATATTTCAGGTTTGTATTGGCCCATAATGTCCAAACTTTCTTCCTATGAAAATAAACAGTGTGGGTCATAAAAATTGAAGTTGGATAGGTCCTTTGTTAATTTCTGTGCAATGTAACTGATCGCTTCATAATTAATTGAGCATCAATATAAAATCATTAATCCTTATCCGCAGTTCGTTATTACTGTTAATCATGCATTACCCATTCAAGAAATACTTGCCGTCACCAACTGTGCTGCGGAAAAAGGAAAAATATCTACTTATTGTTTTTCAAAAACAAGACTACTTTGAAACCCATATTTGAAGAGAGTGGCATGCAGTTCATAATATAATGTGTGCTTTTCATTTTTAACGAAATTTAATAAAATTGACCGCATTCACCCACCTTTTTTTAACTCATATATTATTACCAAATAAGATATCTAACTATATTTCGAAGTCGGTTGAATGGGGCCGAAGTAGAGGATTCGGGATACGGGAGCCCATCAATATACTTTTGGGGAATTTGAAAATAATTTTTTATTCTTGAAAATCTTGACTATCAATACCTACTTGATCTGAATTCCACATACTCATTTTCACGTTTTCCTTTCACGAGATGGTGCTATATCAACCTCTGAATTCGACGTTTCGTCTCAAGATCGACGTCAAGTTATATTTTCAATACGAATCTTGATTACTAACTTTCAGTCTCGCATCATTCTTGCTTGAAGAAATGCTCTAAAAATATTCATCGACGTTTCACTTATTTACTGGAACCTGTCTATCTCCTATTCGAGCCCAAGCGCGGAAAAGTGTTAATCAGTACTGTTCATGCGTAGAATGGGTGTCCTCTATTGAGTTTTGAGATTTCTATGAGAATTCAAGCAATTTTCCTGGGAAGTATCATAGTCCATTATATTCAGGAGACGGAGCTTGAAAAATGCTCAGAACAATGTAATTTGAAATCAAGATTTTTGGGGATTTTCTCTGCTCGTTTCTATGAAATATAAATATGCGTATTATCTCAATATATTTGGAATATGTCAAGATACTGTCTAGGAATTTGAAATTCATATTCGATCTTCTCAAATAAAATCAGGAAAATATACAAAGGTTTTCATAACGTTGTGTTTGTTTATTGAAATCTGTCGAACCATTTGGAATTCTTTGACATTCTCAACCGCATATAAATAAATTCTACACCACAACTTCGCTCCCATTCAATAGGTCGAAACTAACGGTTTAGTGGAAAGCGAATTGGTTACAACCTGTTTTTATTTACATATCTTAAAGAACATTATCGATATAGAAAATGTTTCTATTTCTCAGTTCTCTTATGAAGGGCAATTTCTATTTCAACAATTGTTACTACATTATAATTATGTATAAAGGTATAAAAAATATCAATTTACCATCACTATTTTGAATGTGAATTTAGATTTACAGAATAGATCAACTTGACTCAGAATATAGTCAAAATGATTATTATTCATGATTTTCCAGGAAATATGTAAATGAACTGAATTCAGACGTTTTCCCCATTTAACAAATTCCAATGATTTTCTAGGAGTCGCTGATGATATATATAGATTGACAAAAGAACAATCCAAATTCAGATATACAAGCTGACTGACAAAAACGGCCTAAGCGTAGATGAAATAATTTCTCGAATACTACGAGGAGGCACTAATATTTTTTTCCAATTTCAAAACATATCAGCGACTGTCAATTTTCTTGTTAAAATGCAAGCAGGCTTCTTTTTTTTATTCATTTCTGATTGATGAAAATCTCAAATTATGTCCCCAAGAAATGAAAGTTGACGTGTCTGGGCATTCTTTCATTCTATCATGTGTTCAAATGTTATTCAGGGTGGATCGTCTTGAATGGGCTACACCCATTATTTCAAAAACTAATCAATCAATTTTCAAAAACAAAACACAGTTATTATCTGGGTGGAAATACCTTTCGAATGAGGTATCACTCGACCCATATGTTCCCATTTGAAATTCTTGAAAGGGTGGTTTTCTAGGGGAGGGGGAAGTCATGACAGATGACAAACCCATCTCAAATTATGTCCCCCAAGAAATAAAAGTTGACGTGTCTGAGCATTTTTTCATTCTATCATGTGTTCAAGAGTTATTCAGGGTGGATCGTCTTGAATGGGCCACCCGGTATATCTGGCAATAACGATATACAGGCTATTTTACACTGATTCAATATGTCCAGCTTGCAATGTATTTTTGTCATAGAATTCTGTTTCTCATTTAAATGAGCTGGGTTTAAAAAACCATGGAAACAGTAACATTCAATTTGCAACAAATGATGAAAATCCACCAATTCATCACTAGAATTGCACCGCAATAACATAGGTTAGGGCTATGAGCCAAGGTCAATAGATGATGTTTCGATGACATTCGAAACTACGGTGAAACATCCTGACTTCTACCGTATATTGAAGAATTGACATGTTTCCAGTATTTTCAAATGTCATCGCGACGTCATCTATCGACCTTGGGGACCGCAAATATTATGTCCTGCAATGCAACCAAATATTGCGACAGCTGTCCAAAATGACACTAGTGTGCAGGCAGGCGTACAATGAAAGTTGTTGCATTTTTTCAAATTGTGAACTATAGAGGCTCTTCTAATTTAAAATTTTTGTTGATTTATTTGTAGATGTTATTTTCACCTTTTTTTAAGGAATAAAATTCGGAAAATTGATCTGTCGTTATATAATTACCCCCACCAATTATCCCCTCAACCCCCCGTAGGACCGCCCTTGAACCGAGGGCGAGACCCACACTGTTTATTTTTCATAAATCGTGTTAATTAACATAGGAATATTGTTGAAACAATTTGAATTGTTAGTGTAGGAAAGCAATAATTGGGATTTTGAAAACAGATAGAATGCTGGACAAAATATCTGAAAATTGTTGCTATAATAATAAGAAATATAAAAGCATGAAAAGCCAATAGATGATCATCAAGGAATGAAAAAAATTAAATGAAGTGGACACCTAATAAGATGAAAATTGAATTGATATATCTTCGGATTGATAGCTTGATGAGGAAATTCTGTCATATGTTGTTTTTATATCGAGTGCATCTTTTCACTAGTAAAGTTTGGATTTTGATATATTAACATACAGTGTGACCCTCTTCTAATGGAAACACCCCTGTATCTTATGTAATCGTTGGGTAAGGATCCTGAAATTTGCTGGAGCGAGAGATAAACCAAAAATGCACTTATGACCAAGTGGGGTCATCTACAGTGATATACACTGCTCGCCAATAGCCATGGAACCACCCCCAATTTCTGGAAAATGTTATTAGGATGGGTCGAAAATCACTTCGGATTCAGAATCAGGAGGCCCAGTTCACCAACTATTCATAGTTTTACAAAATATTCTCAGTTCTGAAAAATTAAATTTTGTCTCACTTCTCATGGAAGCACCCCCGTATATCACGTAATGAGGGAGACCACTGATTTTTTAAAACGACATTATCGTGAACTCTATAATGAAAAACTACCAGTGAATAAATTTTGAATTTTGTCATTCATGCAAAGACGGTGAAAAAAATAAATTAAAATATGTCCATTTCAAAACACACAATTCCTGTGCTATTTGAGATTTTGTCAATTCATTGGTGTGACTGGTACGACGTGTTAGTCCCAACACGCCTATTGTCCTTGAACTGACCAATCACACTGCAATAGCCATTCAACCACCCCCAATTTATGGAAAATGATATTAGGAGTCAAGATGGGTCGAAAATCACTTCGGATTCAGAATCAGGAGGCCCAGTTCAACAACTATTCATAGTTTTACAAAATATTCTCAGTTCTGAAAAATTAAATTTTGTCTCACTTCTCATGGAAGCACCCCCGTATTTCACGTAATGAGGGAGACCACTGATTTTTTAAAACGACATTATCGTGAACTCTATAATGAAAAACTACCAGTGAATTAATTTTGAATTTTGTCATTCATGCAAAGACGGTGAAAAAAATAAATTAAAATATGTCCATTTCAAAACACACAATTCCTGTGCTATTTGAGATTTTGTCAATTCATTGGTGTGACTGGTGCGACGTGTTAGTCCCAACACGCCTATTGTCCTTGAACTGACCAATCACACTGCAACACTGCAAAATGACGAGGTATCAAAGAGAGATAGCTACAGCTCGGGACTAATACGTCACGGCTCCACCATCATATTTGGCTATTTGAAATATCGAATGAAAAATGCTGATTTCAAAACGATATAGATTCGATTCCCTTCAACTTCAACTCATAATATTGATTGTACATCAAACGTGAATCATGATTTGTCGATTGAAAGAGGTTTGCACGGATTTCTTCTCTCGGTCTTCCCCATTATAGAGGTAGTGTTCTGAAATTTTGCAGGAGAAAGGAAAAGGGGGTCCTTCCGCAAAAAGTGCGACAAAATTCAATTTTTCAGATCTGGAAATTTTTACAGGATAATTATGAATAGTTAGTGAATTGGGCGTTCTAATTCCGAATCTGAAGTGATTTTCGACATATTTTGACTCTTAATATCATTTTTCGGGAATCGGGGTAGTTCCATGGCTGTTGGCGATAGTGTTGCCGTCTAGACTTATACATTCTAGACTCTTGTCTTGTCTTGTCTAGAATATCAAGACAAGATCATCAATATGTCTTGTCTAGATTATCTAGACAAGACAAGACTTTTCATTTTTCATACAAGACTTTTATTCAGAACTCTTGATTATTTTCAAATCTATATTACAAATAATACAAAAAAAACTTACAAACGTTCAATATGTTTTAAATTTAAGTACGTTAAAGAAACAAACTAAATTTTAAACAGAAACATATTTTTTCATACTTTCATGAAGCTGACAGGTAGCCCATGAATTGATACATAGGAGTGACCTGGCTGAATCGGAATTAAGCCTATTCCTATGTTTACGAATGTTAAGCGAAGCTCTAGAAAATAAGCGTTCTGCTGGAACAGATGTGGCAGGAATACTCAGCAAATCGCGTGCCATTTTGGCTAATGTAGGATAAGCAAACTTATGCTTGCGCCACCAAACAAGAATATCTTCTTCTCTTGGAGCACGTTTACTTGAAAGGTACTCATCAATTTCTTTTCTCCAGAAATTTGGGTTGTCAATATATCAATAACATCTGCTTCCTTGGCTGGCGCGGCTATGATTTGTTTTGATTATGGTTCCCAGAGAGCGGGAGTTTGCATGCACTTGACTGTTTCTACGCAATTTAAGCTAAGCGTCTTATCTAGAGTCTTGAATAATAATCTAGACTTCGTTATCTAGACAAGACCGCACTTAGCTTATTTAATCAAGACTTACGCGTATACAACTCTTGTCTTGAAATTTCAAAACAAGACAACAGTAGGTAAACTCTTGTCTTGTCTTGTCTAGATGGCAACACTAGTTGGCGAGCAGTGTATATCACTAAAGATGACCCCACTTGGTCATAGAGTGCATTTTTGGTATATCTCTCGCTCCAGCAAATTTCAGGATCCTTACCAAACGATTACAAGAGATACATGGGTGTTTCCATTAGAAGTGGGTCACACTGTATACAGGGTGTTTCTTATGTACGTGTAGAAAATTCAGGAGCATGTTGCTGGCGTCAAAATGAGAAGAAAAGTTCGTATAAATATATGTCCCAAAGTTATTCGTTTCTGAGATACAGAGTGTCAAAGTTGAATTTGTATTTTTGTTTTTCGTTCATAAATTCCAAAATAATTGTGATATTCAGATAAAGTTTGGTATCTTTCAATGACAATATCGAATTTTAAGTTAGTCTCTTTCTATCTTTCGCCATCTACATGTCTTTTGAGTTTTTTGAAAAATGAAAAGTCATAACTTTTTCGTGCGTCCCTGTATCACGTTTTATAGTAGAAAAAAATATTTCTAGAACACTTTCGAGTGAAAAATATATTCCTGGTAGAGGTCGCTGCGAGCAACTGTTTTTGAGTTATTGGGATTGGAAATAATCGATGCATTTGAATTATTTCCATTGGGCTCATAAGATTTTGCGCAATTTTTCTCGTGCTTGTCGGTGGATCTTCTTCGATTGCCTGAAGAAAAGCTTCTTCAATTTCTGGAGTCCTAGTAGTCAATGGTCTGCCTATCACTGGAGCTTTTTTGAAGGATCCAAACTCCATAAGACGCTGAAAAAGGTTTCTGAATGTCTGGTGATTCGGCAGTCGATGATTAGGGAAGAGTCCACAAAAGTAGGTACAAAGAAGTAAGAACCATTTTTTGCTGATATTCCAATATTGAATGTAGGAGAATATTGAATGGATTAAGAAAAATGCACTGGCGTATCTTTTCCAATATTTTACTTAGAGGCGACTAACGAGCTCCATCATGGAAATAATTCAAACGCATCGATTATTTCAAATCCCAATAACTCGAAAACAGTTGCTCGCAGCGACCTCTACCAGGAATATATTTTCCACACAAAAGTGTTCTAGAAATCTATTTTTCCACCATAAAACGTATGACAGGTACGCACAAAAAGTTATGACTTTTCAAAAGATTCAAGAAACATGAAGCTGGCGCCACCCCCACGAAAGATACAAACCAACCTAAAATTTGATAGTGTCATTGGAAAATACCCCTAGATACTAAACTTTATTCGAATATCATAATTATTTCAAAATTTATCAACAAAAAACAAAAATAAGAATTCAACTTTGACACTCTGTATCTCAGAAACGAAGAACTCTCGGACATATACTTATACGAACTTTTCTTCTTATTTTGACGTCAGCAACATACTCCTGAATTTTCTACACGTAGTTAAGAAACACCCTGTATAGCATACATATAAGTACGTTCACTCCAGGCGAAACTGGACATGACAAAATAAACAACGGATTTCGATCCAATTCAATTAATTCGTTGACATTTTTCAAAGAATGTTTTCTTGATCCCCTCGAGGGTACAGGGGTGGCCCTATTCTCGTGGTCACCTTCAATGATTGTGACAGCCGAAAAGAACAAATTTCATTCGAAAGTGCTGGTGTGGGTTTTGGAATAATCACTTTTCAGTGTTGACATATTGAAGAAGTTCCTCCGATAAAAGGTTCAGAAAAAGATACCATACCAACCACCTCTCCCACTCCTCCCTAGGTACGCACGATGTTCTTCAAACATTACAGAGATCAGAAATTCCCTTTCGTGCGCTCCAAGAGAAAAACCAATACATTTTGGTGATATAGATACATTTGATGTTTTTTTGTGATGTTGGATTTAAATAAGAGGAGAAAATAAATGAAAACTAGGTAAACCTATACTAATAATAATATGACAATATGTAGAGCATGCAAGTTAACAAGGACCACCACCTTAAAACACGTGTTGCAACAAAACGAGACTACAACATAAAAATATATGGAATGAATCATTACAAGCGACACAGCACATTGCACAAAAATAACATTAACGCCATAACGAATATTTAAACTCACCTTGGTAGGAGGACTAGTTGAAGCAGGCGATACTATACCATGATCTGGTGAAGTTTGTGGTCTTTTTGGTGCAACTCTTGCTGGTGAAGAACCTGAAACGAAAAAAATCACGTTTGAGTTGGTTCCAAATTTTCCACACACATAAAAGAACCCATAAAGAAAAATTCCAACTACAACGTCACACAATCCCAACATATGTATACCCGACTTGAACCTTTGGTACGATAAACATACTACACTGTTTGACTTTTACCACTAACTATACCGATTTTTTGAGCCTCAACACGTGTTTCAGCAGTTTCAATCTCCTCCTGATAATGCTAATATATAGTACCTAATAAGCGGAACACGAACGTGTCGAGGCGTTGTGTAATATTCCAAAAAATTTAAAAAAGGTACATACCTACCTAAAAATTTAGTCGAATATTTTCTTGTCTCGATAAAAAATGTGTCTCAAAGTTGCCATAATATATTAAATATGATTCATGATAAATAATAGTTTAAAATCTGAAGAAACCCTTTTATGGCCAAACTATTATATATTTTTTAGTTTTTAAATCAGCTAGCTATAAAAGCATGTTTGTTCTTATATTTTTTGTGCGTACCCAATTTTGATGAAAGAATTATAATCTCCGACCCCGAAAACCCCCAGATATACCAATTTTGAATAGAATCGGATCATATAATTCCAAAACTCGTCCATCATATTGGATCCGCCATCTTGAATTTTCTAATTTTAACGAAAGAATCATAATCTACAACCCCAAAAACCCCTAGGTACAAATTTTAAATAGATTCGGATCATATTTACAAAACTCGTCCGCCATATTGGATACGCCATATTGGATTCATCAATTTTGACGAAAGAATCATAATCTCCGACTTCGAAAACCCCCATCGGATTTCGAATAGAATCGAATCATAATTACAAAACCCGTCCGCCATTTTGTTTCCCCAGATACCAGTTTTGAAAAGAATCGGATCATATAATTACAAAACTCGTCCACCATATTGGATCCACCATCTTGAATTTTTCAATTTTGACGAAAGAATGATAATATCCAACCCCGAAAACCCCCAGATACAAATTTTGAATAGATTCGGATCATAATTACAAAACTCGTCCGCCATATTGGATCCGCCATCTTGAATCCATCAATTTTGACCAAAGAATCATAATCTCCGACCTCGAAAACCCCCAGATACTAATTTCGAATAGAATCGGATCATAATAAGAAAACTTGTCCGCCATTTTAGAGCGGCCATTTTGTTTTTTGTCCAACAAACATGTCATGATGCATTACAACCAGAATTACGTACACCTGCCAAATTTCAAAACCCAAGAAAAATAAAGATTTAATTCTGTATTCCTGCGATCTGACACGTTCGTAAACGTTTAACACGAGTTTTTTGTCACGTGACCTCTCTGGGACAACCCAGAGTAAGTTTCCGAAAACACCTTTATAGGTGTTCATGGGTTGATGTCTAGCCCTAGTATTTTGAAACATGGAGATAACAACATAATAATAAATTAGTTATTTGTGAAGTCAAGTGAGCAATGATGTATTTTTCATGAGCAGAAAAAATTACGAACAATGAAGAATAGTAAATTCATTATACAAGGGAAAAAAGTATTAGATTCCAGGTTGTGTTGTCTCCCGACGCGTAGCGTAACCGTGAGCTAAAATCTAGTATTTTTCCCGTGAATAATACACTATTTTCTTCTGTGACAGAAGAAAGGACGAATCAATATTGAGAAGATATTACATTATTTTGAAATCTGAAAATTATCGAAGTGAAATTTTAAGTTTTTTTCAGTAGGGACACCTGCGTTGTAGGCATCTTCATCATTCTTTTGAAGTAATCAAATATCTGATGTGGCTTCTGTCAGTCTAATTCTGTGATTTGATTTTAAAAAATTGCGAATTTAGTGGTTTTTTAGTAATATACGTAACCGCGAAGTCGAATGGAAGATAAAAGCACTTGCAGTTCTTTCTCGGAGACGGTATTATTGACTCATTTTTCGGAACTATAGCACAACAAAAGCCATCAACAGTGTATATATATGTGATATATATCCGGAAAAAAAGTACTCACTGTTTTCCCACGGGAAAAAAGTAATTTATGGAAAGTGACATTTTATAACCTGACAACAGAGATGAAATGCCAAATTTTTTTCCCGTCACAGAAAAAATACCGTTGTATTCCATTGGCAGTTATAGAAGTACTGTTTTTGTGAATTCATATATGTACAACTCAACGTAGTCTGAACTTAAGAATGAGATATGATGATTGGTTCATTTCAGATATCAACTCTCAATTCACCAATCACCTCCTCTAATTCTTAAGTTAGGACCAAGGTAAGTCGTGCATGAATTTTTGTCACTTGTTGTGATCGATCTGCTAACCCACCCATTGTCGATCTAAATGAAAACCTAATAGGCGACCTAGTACGCTATGAGGTATCATAGCTCTGGCCTACTAACTACCTAACTAGGTTGTCATCTAGAACGACAATGACCCACCAAACTGACAAACACGCCACAAAACACTACACTATTTAACTACCAAATAATACTCGAAGTCATCTCTACGACATCTAATGAGATCAACACATGTGTTGATCATATTAAATGTCGTGGATACAGTGTGACCCACTTCTAATGGAACCACCCCTGTATCTGACGTAATCGTTGGGTAAGGATCCTGAAATTTGCTGGAGCGAGAGATATACCAAAAATGCACTCTATGACCAAGTGGGGTCATCTTCAGTGATATACACTGCTCGCCAACAGCCATGAAACTACCACAATTTCCGGAAAATGATATTAGGAGTCAAAATAGCTCGAAAATCACTTAGATTTGGATTCAGGACGCCCAATTTACTAACTATTCAAATTTTTCCTCGAAATTTTTCAGTTCGGAAAAATGAAATTTTGTCGCATTTTTTATTGAAGCACCCCCGTATCTCACGTAATTATTGAGGTAGGGTTCTGAAATTTGCCGGAGGAAGAAATAGTCCAAAGATAAAGTCAATTACGTCAATTCCATAAAAAATGCGACAAAATTTCATTTTTCCGAACTGAAAATTTTCCAGGAAAAATTTGAATAGTTAGAAAATTGGGCGTCCTGATTCCAAATCTGAAGTGATTTTCGACCTATTTTGACTCCTAATATCATTTTCCGGAAATTGGGGTAGTTTCATGGCTGTTGGCGAGCAGTGTATATCACTGAAGATGACCCCACTTGGTCATAGAGTGCATTTTTGATATATCTCTCGCTCCAGCAAATTTCAGGATCCTTACCCAACGATTACGTAAGATACAGGGGTGGTTCCATTAGAAGTGGGCCACACTGTATGACTTCGAGCATTATTTTGTAGTTACTACTTCACACCACTTTGAGAAACTATGGACTTCTACCAAAGATCACTACACTTTTTCTTGGATACTGAATATAAATACAATTTGAGTCAATATGACGGGTTAACATCTGATAATAAATTTAATGAATAGTACTCACTATATTCTAGTGAAGTGCTATCGAGTAAAACTTGAAACGCTTTGACTTCGTTATACTCATATAATATGTAGGAACTTGGAAACCACCGTGAATACCGTTTTAATAATATGATGATGTAGATGTAGGTATTGTTTTGCTTTATTTGTGATGTGAACTGACACACTCTATGAAGAGTAGATTCGCATTGGGTTGTTGGAATTTGAATTAATGATAAAAGCGATCACATAAGCATCCATAAACAGGAAGTGAGCACGATAATGGCCTACCATTCGCCTCAATACATCAAAAGCCAAACACAAAGAGATAATAATGGTATTGCCCTGACCGGATATTAGTGTTGACTTTGAATAGTTTGAATAACGAATTGGTTACCTGGAAAGTCCACTGTCCGGAAAATCATATGCATAATATGAAACTGTGATACAACCTAATGGTTTTGGTTCATCAAATTTGGACGAGTTTGGGAGAGTACTAAGTGCATTATTCACATTATTTATTACCCAATTTTCCACATATTTTTCAACCTAGATATCAGATACCCTTGAATATAATCATTATTGCTCACGGATAACACTGACGTTAGTGATAGGAACAAAATTCGAAGTGAAAAGGTAGACTGAAACGGCATGAAACTTAATTTTGTAATGTTTTACTATACATATAGGGTGTTCCTCAAGGAGATGCTAATATTTAAGGAGACGATTATTACCTACTTCAAGAAAGAACTATACATATGTCGTGAACGTTCGAACTTCTGAGATTAGATTAGATTATTAGATTTGGAATGGGGCCTTCGGTCTATCTGCCTCCACACTGCTACCTTTTCAGATCTATTGTGTCTGCCCTCAGAATCGATTAGAGTTCTTCGGCTAGCCCCGCCTTCTCTATGAGACTCCATAGGCTAGCTTTCAGATCTCCTGTGTATCTCTGGGCTCCTGGTTTTTCCTCACCCAGCGTGAGGAATCTTAGTTTTGACAAGCCCTCACAGTGGCAAAATATGTGTACTGCTGTTTCTTCCTCTTCTTGAGAGAACCTGCACAGCAGTTCTTCAGTCAGACCTATCGTACTCATGTGTTTGTTGAGCCTACAATGCCCTGTGAGAAGTCCCACTAGTATTCTAGTTGAACTTCGTTTCTGGCTTAGTAGATATTCTGTGAATGTTGGCGATGGTTTTTTAATAAACTCTTTTGCCTGTGTCATTCCTGGCGAGTTGTTCCACCATTCATGAGATTTGGTTTGCATCCATGATTTGATACTAGTCTTTTGTATAGCTTTCAATACCACAGAAGGGTTCTGGGCCATTTAGAGCTTTGTTTGCTCCTGCTCGGGCAAGTGAGTCAGCCTCTTCATTGCCCTCGTACCCTGTATGAGCTGGTACCCATGCTAGAGTCAATCTGTTCTGACTGCTCAGTGCATTTGGGGTTTCTAAGCAGTCCCATACTAGTTTTGAGTTAACTTGCATAGAGTTGACTGCTTTGATTGCCGCCTGGCTATCTGAATAGATTGCAATGGTTTTGCCTTTAAACTCTTGCCTTATCAATTCTTTCACGCAATGATGTATTGCAATAAT